ATTATCTTGTGGATTTGCAATATCTGCTGAACATATCATTTCAGCTAATTGCACAGCTGATTTAGTGACCTATTAAAGAGCATTATAACATAAAGCATTATAAGCAAATTAATAGAAGAAAGTCTTAACCAAATTTGCATTTTTAAGAGAAGTAATAGAAAATAGATTTGAAAAATATAGTGATATGAAATCCAGATATTTTAAATCCTATTAATTTACTAAAATACTTAAGTATGGCTTAGATATTATTTCAGAGCCTGAAAATTATCTTAAATTTTCAATTTAAAATATTGAAGCTAATCCTGATTAAGGAATAAATTGGGATGATTATTTCTTTGATATTGGATTTTTATCAGGTGGATCTTAAATTATTAAATGGATTAGAACAGAAGGAGTCTAAGCAAAAATCAATCCATAAACTAGATTAATTATTTTGAAAGAGAAACTTAAATAATTAATGTAAAAGGATATTAGTGATTAACATGCAAACATGAAGAAAATATGGCTTGAATAATAAAGAATATCAGTTGAACCTAAATAGATATCTTCAAAAGAGCCTACTATTGATGAAGCAGTATTCGAAATATATGATGTAAGAACTGGTAAAAAATGGTAAAGTGTTTTAAATTCATAAGAATTATGGTCATAATCATGTTATGTATATAATGATAATTTAAGATTATTAATTGATATTTGGAAAGGTAATTATTAATCTATTATTGAACCTGATACATATTTTACTGATGAAGAACCTGCAGCTGCTATGGCATACTTTGGATTAGCAGCTTTATCTGGATCATTTTATAAAGTTAAAAATGGATGGAAATAAAATACTCCTTAATAATTATCTGCCTATTTAAATGCATGTTGTTGGAATACTATATCAAATAAGAAAAATTTATAAGAAATTTTATCTGTATTCTTGAAATCATTTGAAGGATTTACGGTTTTAGCTTAATCATTATAATAAAATGTTTAATTAGTTAATAGTTTTGTTAATTTATCTATGTAATTAAATGATAATGATATTTAATAATCAGAAGATTAATTAACATTAATTAAATCGATGAATCTATCTTAAAATGATACAGAAGTTTTGAATTAACTAATTGATGCTTATTTAGGAAAAATGGAAGTCTATTATTAATTAGCAGATTATTCTTCTGTTATTAATCCAAGTGCTATAACTAAATTTAAGCCTGTTTAAATGAATAATCTTATCAAAAAAAAGAGAGGAGAAATGTAACAATAAAATAAATAAGATTAATAATAAAATGATTAAAAGAAGTAAGAGGAAATTAAACCAGAAGAAAATAAATAAGATCCTGTTGTATAATAAGAAGATGCATAAAATTAAGCACCTCCTTAACCAGAATTATAGAATGTACAATCAAAAGAGTAAAAATAAAATCCTAAAAAAGGATCTGAAAAGAAAGGAAAATCAAAATTATAATCATCTTTTGGTAGTTCAGGGGATAGATACTTTTCAATTAAAACAATATTATTAAAACTTTTATATGGATTTGATTACTCATAATTACATTAAATTGAAAAAATAGATACTATTAGATTTGATTTTAGTCAATATTCAGCTCTATCTTCTGATCCAAAAAAAACAGAAGAATGCTTTATATTATTACTTTGGTAATTAGCCTAAGCAATAACTAAAGAAACATTACCAAATGATTTAAGATTACCTATTTTAAGTGATTTTGAAATTAGTTAATAGAATGATTTAGCAAGAGAATATCATACTAATCTTACTACAATTAGATTAATAACTCAATTTATAGTTTAAATTGTTAAAGATGATTATTCATTCTTTTTCTAAAAAGATGATGATATCTCTGGAGTTTTATAAAAATTGGCACTAACTAAAGATAAACCTAATTAAGAGTTACAATTTTTAAGAGCTATGATAGGATTGAAATCAAATAAAATGCTATTTATTTAAAATAAAAGAGCTCTTCAAAAAAATAAAAGAAAAAATGATAATTCAAATGAAGATGATGAATTATAACTTGACATATAAGAGTAAGTTAAAAATTTAGTTGATTCAAAAATAATTAATATTAAATTAGAAAATAAAACAGATGATGACAATAACGATCTTTCTAAAAATATTGCTTTATTATTTTTAGCAATATCAAGTGGAAACATTGAAAAAATGTATTCAGCAATTTTACCACATGATTCAATGAGTGCTGGATTCATTTTAACAATGTTTATGTGGAAAAACATTTCTATAATAATTGGTAATGAAGAGTTTATCAAAAAAGATAATGCTATAAAAGTAATTCCACCTATATAATTGTTACCTTTATTGATTTATTCTTAAATTAATGAATAATAAGATAAAAAAAATGGAACACTTAGAAATAGTCAAAGATCAAGAGTTATTAATTCTTTCTAATAGATCCTTAAAGTGATTAAAGATGAAGGTATAGATTAAGAATTCTATAATAAAATTGAAAAGAAATCTTAAAATAAATAGCACCAAACATTTTCTTGGAGTTTATGGCTTTTAAGAATGCCTGAATTCCTTTAAGCATAAAGAGCAATTTAAATGTAAATTAAGTTTTCTGCCTTGAATGAATGTGATTTCTTATTTAAAATTTTGACAGGTTCATTCTTTGTTGAAAAGATAGAATAAGTTAAATTTATTGGACCTGTTTTTAATTTGTATAAGGTTTGTAATTAAATCATTAATTATCCTGAAACTTTAAAAATATAGAATATCGATTTCAAAAAGATTATTCCAAATACAATTACTACAATAAGTGATTATGTACCTGATGTCATAAGAACATATTTAGGAGTTTTCGATAAATTTGTTTAATTGTTTGTGTTCATCTAAATACCTGAAAGATCATTAAAAACATTAAAAGATTCTTCAGATAAATTAGAATAATAATAAAATTAAGCATCATAAGTTCAATCTTAAAAAGATGAAGATGAAGATAATAATAATGAAAACAATTATAATGATAATGAAGAATAGGATGATGATGATGAAGAAAATGAAAAAAAAAAATAGGCTATTGAAGCTCCAGTTGATGGATTAGCTTAAATTACTGAAACAATTAATGAATTTATTTTGGATGTGTTAGGATAAACTGTCAATTCTCTTTGGTTAAGTTTTAAGGAGGAAAACAGGTAGTCATTGAGTGAAGAAATAGATAAACTAAACAGAGAAATTAATGAAAAGAAAGTTAACCAAATAAAATAGGATTAAAATAAAAGATTAAGTAATTAAATGCCTATGTTAACACAACCATAGATTATGCAATCATAATTGTAATAATAAATACCAATGTAATAACAAATACCAATGTAATAACAAATACCTATGTAATAACAAATACCTATGTAATAATAAATACCTATGTAACAATAAATGCCTATGTAATAATAAATACCAATGCAATAATAAATGCCTATGTAATAATAAATGCCTATGTAATAAATATAAATGCCGTAGATGGGTAATTAACAATAACTCATGTAAGCAATGGCTGTAGCTTCCTAAGGATATAACTTTTAAGAGAAGGATAAGAAATTAAAAGAATTACAAGTTTAATTGGCTAAGATAGATGAACAATCAACTCAAGTAAAACGATTGATATCTGGAATTATTTTATTATTGACTGGATATAATATTGATGATATGAAAGCTTAAAATGATAGTGACAAGAAACTCTAGGTTATGTGTTTCATTATAGATTCAGTTCTCTTTAAGAATTTAAACCTATTATAATATGTGAATACTGTAATTATAAGGGAACTATTTTAAGAAATTTAGAATATTAACAATTGTCCATTAAAATCTATTACGAATTAAGACTTTTTATTCTAAATTGAATCTTTATTATATACTTTAACAGGTTAAGATCCTAGCAATGAAGTTAAAGATAAGAAATAAAAAGGTGGAAGTGTTTAATCAAAAGATAAATAAGCATCAAAATCTGATTAATGGACTATAGCATTACCAAAGAGAGCTAAAATAATAGAATTACCTATGGGAATTATTAAATGTATTTTTGGTTTGGCTAGTTATAATTTTGAATATGTACCAAAATTATTAAAAGAATTATCTGTTAGTGATAGTGCAATTAAGATAATTGAATAAATTATTAAATAAGTTTAGGAAATGGGTGTATTTGGAGGTAAATAATTAAGCATTGGTGGATCTTAATAAGATTCTAAAAAAGCTAAAGAAATACAAGAATTAATGAAAAAGATTTAAGAAGGAACAGCCACTAATTAAGATATGTTTAAAGCTATTGATGGTATATATTTTATATTTATTATTTTAGAGGATGGAACAAAGAGTATCAGTAAGACAGAATATGGAACATTAGCAAAGAGATTAGGAATGAATCTTTCTGAACATAGAATTAATGAAATCTTTGCAAATATTAAGAAAGGTTCTTCTTAAGGCAATTAAGATTCTTTAAATGAAAAAGAATTCGATTTAGCAATGAAATATCTTTAATAAAAAAACACTGATATGGCTTTAGATTTTCTAGGAATTTCTCCAGGTTTATTAACTATGCTCTTAATTTAGGGAGCAATAATTCTTTTACTAATATTTATATTTATTTTCTTAGGAATATAAGCCTTTGCTTTAGGTGGTACTTTTGGTGCAGTTGTCAATAGTATCTTGCCTATGGGTAATAATTAATTATTTATTCTTTAGCTGCTGGAGGAGGAGCAGGAAGTAAGGCAGAGAAAGTTAGTGAAAAGAAAGGAGATGATGATTAAATTGGAGATTCAGTTGATAAAACCTAAAAGATCATCTAATCAGATACAATTTGATTATTTATACATATAGAATATCATATTTTTAATTTAAATTAGTTCTTCTTTCAAAAACTAATTAAGTAAGCTTTCAGATTTTATTCTTAAAATTCTTATTAGTATCTTTCACTTAGAAATACATAAATTATATAGATTTTAATATTCAATATTTCTTAGTACATATAAGAGTCTACATTTAATCAATATTTCTTATTATTCTTTCTTCTAGAGAGAATACTTGATGTAGTTATTGATTTTAATTTTGGAACTGAAACTACTCTTTACAAAATAGAATCGTAAAAGTGATAACTAGTTTATTCAATTGCTAATTCTGATGTGTCAAAATCCACAAAGTCTAATAAGTCATCTTCTTATGGCTTAATAATTGTTTTAACAGGAGAATTTTTGCATGTGTCTAAAGTAGATTCTCGACTCATTATCATAGATGATTTAAAGTGCGTAGATTCTGAGCATCCCATATAAATTTAATAATTATTAATGTCATTATGATGATGCAGTATTTAATTATCGTAATAATATTAATTATATTAAATTAATGACATTTTAATTAAAAATTAAAATCTATGATATTAATTTAAATCATCTCAACTTTATATAACTTAGAATATTTATTTAAATTTTTAGTATTCAAAAAGAGTTAATACAAAGGAATTAAATTATTAATAAATTAGACTGATTTTTTTTAAGTTTCTTATGATCAAGTTTAAATAAAAATTTATTTATCATTCTATTGAGAACAATATATTAAAATAACATTCAAATTAATTTCAATTAGTAACCGTATACATCATTCAGTAATTGTTAAGCAAAGGTAACACATTCTTGATAATCTTTGTCATTAAATTAACTCAATTTTCGAATTAATTCAATAACAAAATTACTAGTGATAAATTCTTTAATTTTTTATTTCATATCAGGTATATTTTAGAAGAAATGAGAACAATCAAAAATGCAGCAAAGAGTTAATCGAACATATTCCTAGAATGATATTAATTAAATACAATAGTAGGTTTTAATTTTAAGTTACACATTTCTTAACAAAATATGATAAACCACTAAACAGTGTCTCCTAATTCATAAATTGGAGTTTTAGGATCGCAATAAGCATGTAACATACAGGTATAGAATGCAGTCATAGTTTCTTTTAATCTTTCAGCATAATCTTAATCAACACTTATTTTGCTTTTGGTTAAATCAATACTAGCTGCAAAACCTAATCTAAGAATTTCTTTAAGATCTATCATGAAGGGAACTGATTTATCTTTTAAACCTAAAATGATATCTGCAATCGCATTGTAAACCTATATTTTTAATTCCCTATTAAAACTAACATTCTAACAAAAATGATATAATTTTTAAATACCTTAATTAATCCAAAGAAATAATTTAATATATTCATATAAGGTACGAATTCTTCTTCCATAGCTCTAGCAATATCAGATAAACAGAAAAGTGCAGTTTTGAAACTTTCCATATCATCTGGTTCTGAAAGGGGTTTATTTAATTCTGATATAATTTAACTTGAATATTATGATAATTTCCTTTTAAAAGCGTAAGCAATCCCAGATAGAACATAAAAATAATCGTTCTTAACTCTAGGATCAACTTTTGATAGAGTTTTCATAATGTCTTCAAATAGTTTTTCAGCAATTGTAGAATCATCTAATCTTACAACACATCCATGCATTGCACTCATTAATCCCATTTCAAGATGATACTTAATTTCATTAGGTACTTAATTATTACTTTCTAAAAGTTAAATTTATTGATAAAATTGTAACAAATAATCATTACATAATTTAGTTTCAGTTACACTATAGATAATATTTAAGATTGCCATGAATGCAGTATCAATAACTGAAATTTCTGAATTTTAGATATCTGGTCTAACTGATGTACTAGCCAAATGTTAAAGAATAGTAAATTTCTCTCTTGTATATACACTATATTAAAAATTAGTTAATCCTTCAGTTAAATAAACAAAAACCCAAACTAAATTTTGTACTATCGAAATTTTATTAGATAACTAATCTAAAAGAGTTGAAAACATTTGAGTAGCTTAATCATGTTCATGAAAACACTAAGGATAATTTTCAGCAATTCTACTTAAAGTTTATGTAGTTGCTTTTTTAACTTTAAAGTTTTAATCAACAAGACAACCAAATAAACTAGTTAAAGCAGATTTAATTAAAAGTCCAATTTCTTCTGTTTAAACTTCAGCTAAAGCCCCAAAAGCCATCACACTTGCTTTTCTATATTCCCATTATTGATGTGTCATAGTATTTTAAATAAAATTTTTAATTGTATCATATGTATTAGAACCAGCATATTCAATAATATATGCTAAACCTTTAGATGAAGAATTTGGAACAGATAATCCTTGATATTCATCATCTGTATCTGCATCATCTAATAATAGATTACGCATAAATGGAATTATAAATCCTTCATAATTTTTCTTAAAAAATTAAATACAACAATTAGCTGAATTTATTTCAGGTGTTTATTGATTAGAATTTTCTGAAATTATTTCTTTCATTTCAGCACAAATAGTATTCCAAATTTCAATTGCGGCAATTGTGATTTCTCCTTAATTTTCAAAAGCACTTTATGTAGTCTAATATAAATCTTAAATGAATGCAGGTAAAAATGCAAATAACTATTTCACATAATCAATTAAACATTAAAGTGATTTATGTTTAATTTCTTATATTTTTGACATTGCATTTTATAAAATTAAATTTTTAACATAAGTAAATATTTCCTTAAAATAGAATACTTTAAATTTACTTATTAAGCAAATAAATTATTCATAAAATAAAGGGAATCTTATAAAGCCTTAATAGCCGTGGTTCTTATTTCAAGATTCTACTCATTTGTATCCATACCAACACAAATTCCCATTAAAATAACTTTTGCATCCTGCTCTGATATTCCCGAAGATTAATTATTTTTCTATATATATATATATAAATACAAATTACCAATGATTCACAAATATATCCCAAAGTCATAATAGCAGAAACCTTAACTAAAACGTTACTGTGTTTAGAATTAGTTGTTAATCTTGAAATAAGATCAGGCCATTCTTATCGTGGTAATTCAATAGCACAAATCTCACTTATAGTCTAGTTTATAAAAATTATTTATTTACATTGGCTGCTGATCTTCTAATTTCATTTTCAGGATCTATTAATTAATCCATGAACTTAATTTTTACTTCATTTTTAGTTTATTAAGAACAGGCTAACCACATGATTTGGTTTGTTGGATGCTTATATTTATTAAACATATAAACTTACAACTAATCCAACTAATCGTTTCACTAAAGTACTGCAAGCAATACGTAAACGATTCTAAATTGACCGATTTGCAAATGCAGATGTACAATACATCAGAAATTCATCTGTGTATTCATCTTTATACTTTAGAAGTACTTGTTCAGCTTATCCGCGCTAATTGTTGCTGTCAAAGAAGGCACATTACACTAAATCTAAAAATTGTTGTGGCTACATTTTTTGTTTAATTTTAAAATAAATAGTATATTTTTTAAATTAATTATGCTTTTAAACATATTTAAAATCAATTTATGCAACATTTTCAATTAAACATCAATATTATTCATTTTTATCAATGTTTATTGTTAGAAATATTTTTTTTAAATCACTATTTGTTACTAATAGTTTAAGATTTATTATATTGACTTTTATATAAATTTATCTAATTAAATATTAAAGTTTAAATTTTCCACCTGAGTTTTTAACTTGCATCTTTTATTTTTTATGTTTTCATTATTTCCTTTTCTTTTCTCCTTTAAAAATAATCTTTATTCTATATCAATAGACTTTATATCATGTTTTTATCATTTTTTTTTAAATTTAGCCTTTCTTAAAAGATCTTTGATAGTTATGGTTATTTCTAGGGCGATACTTTTTATTTTGAACATCTTTCATTTTAATAGATCACAAATTTGTAATAAATGAATTAAAGAATAAATATAAATCAACAACCACAATTTAAAAACCAACATTATCTTAAGAGAAATTTAATTAATTAAAGATTTTATAAAATATCTCTACATTTCTTAAACTTAAAATTTAATTCTTAATATAAATTATATATAAATCATGAATAATTTACCAAATCAATTTATAAAGTATTTTTTTTATTAAGAAATAAATTAAATAAATATATTTATATTAAGAAAGTCATTTCTATTCTTATTGTATTGCTAACAATTTTTGATTAGTAAATTGTTTGATTTATATATGTTTTAAACAAAATGTTCAAATATATTTTTTTTATAATTTATAGCGAATTAAAATAGTTCTAAAAGCGAAAAATAAATTATAAAATTTTCAACAAATTCATTGATTAAATGGATGGATTTCCTAAGTAAGTTATAACCATTATACAAAAGACTGATGCATCGTAATTAATGAGACATATCCAAAAATCTTAATTTAATTGGAGAAATATAAAGAAATTGGTTAAGTAATCAAAAACATGGGGTTTAGGGGGTTCAATCAAAAGATTCTATGAAAAAATCTAAAAAATGTGTGATATAAACTTTTTTCAATAAAATATATCTATTTAACATCTGATTTGTTGTTTCCTAATTATAAAATTTAACATAATATTCAATATTTTATTTTAATGTATTCTTATAGGTTTTAAATAAATTATAATAGTTTACAGATTAAAAGAGATCATATTTATCTGATATTCTAATAAAAATGTTACTTAATTATTCTGGGTATAATAGTTATTATATGAGATTAAAAATATGTCATTAGTATGATTTGAAAATATAATTTAAGATCCATCAATTTTAAATCATTACATTTCGATTGGTTGATGTGAAAAATAAAATTTTTGGTTTAAATGAATATATATATGAATAATAGCAGTAAAAATCATAGTTTGAATATTTCAATTTTTAGAGCAGTGATTTTAATGAATATAAAACTTAAATAATAATTGATTCTAGAGCGTGAAAAGAGATTAGAGTGGAAATATATGATGCAAAGAATAGAATAGATGAAAAGAAAATTAAAAATTCGATCAAGTTAGAGAGGAGGATTTAATATTTTTTATGAGATGTTAAGTTTGGTTAGAAATGATTTTTTGTAATTGAATATAGTGTTCAATTTGCTATGGAGGATTTTTAAGGTGTAGCAGTTTTATTACGAGTGAGTTGTTGTTGTAAGGCATCTTTAACATCAGATTGAAGTTTAACTTATTTTCTGATAGTTTTTGTTTATCTATATTCATCTAAAATTAAATGAGCTTTAAGTCGTAATTATTTTTCATGTTACTCTTTATTAAAAGTTGATTCCATCATCATAGTTTTCTGTTGGGTAACTTTTTCTGAAGTAATTGTGCATCCCATATTTGTAAATTATTATATTAAAATAATGAATAGTAGATGTGGTATATAACAGAATTATGAAATAATAACATAAATTGAATGTTGCTAACTTACTAAAAGAAATAAACAAATGAATATTTGATAACACATATTTAGAAAGGGAATATTTATAAATTAATTAAATGTTTCATTGTGATTCAGCTTGTATTACTGGAATGAGTTCTCGCCTATCCAATCAAATATAATCAATTACTTCTTGACTAAAAATTCCTAAAAAACTTTCTCATCGCATTTTTCTAAACAATCTTTCATTTAATGTGCCCATCCTTTTTGGTGTACTATTGTTAAATTAGCAATTTCACATTAATTATCCTTAAGATTTAATCACTTGAAAATACTTTTGATTTATCTTGGATATCACATGATTATAAAACATATTGTAATGTTGAACCTTATACAAAAATCTAACAGATAATTTCATTAAAAAATTGTTTACATTTAATGCAATTATTACTATTGTCATTGTAAGCATAATTTCTCCTTCTCCTTTAAAAGTATCAGCTGCATCTAAAGCTAAAGCATAGGCCATTGCTCCTCTTAATCCACAAAACCACATTGCTTTTTAATGATTTGATTTTATGAAATTTGCATGTCGATATCTATTAAGTATGAAACTGTTTATTTTTATATTAATAAATCTAGCTAATATTACTATAAATATAATTGATATTGCTAAAATTATTCCCATCTCATTCCAAGCTAAATCATAACCAACCATTCCTATCCCTATAAATAAGAATACTAAATTTTCAAAATTGTATGATAATATATGATAGAATTTATTTAATAACTAAAAATAGTAATTTTTATATATATACTTAATTTCCACTTTCAGATAAATTAGGTAAAGCATATTTAGCCATTACAATCCCACAAAATACTATACTCACTATTCCAGAAAAACCAACTGCCTCAGAAATCAAATAACAAACCCATGGAATAATTACAGTTACTGAAACCTCTATGTGTTCTGTCTCATATGAAACTTCCTCTTTCACTTTCAATATCTAAAACATTTATTTCACATAATATACATATGCACATAAAGCTCCTATTATTACACCAATAGCTATTGATACAAAAAATATTAACAAAAATTGTTCTATTGCATCTTCAAATCCAACAACTTCTTAATTCCAAATTCTTTCAGATATTCTAATTTACTTATTTTATTATTTACTCATATAACAAAAGAGAAATAGCATCATTTATGATGCTTTCACCATATATAAGAATATGAATTTATTTATCTGCATTTAACTTTTTAAAAATAGACAAGACAGCAACTGGATCAGTGGAGGATATTAAAGATCCAAAAGCATAACAGCCAGTTAAGGATAATTTCTAAAATTGACTTATTTGAAATGCATACATTAATCAGTAATCCTACGATATATAAGGAAAATGTAGTGACAAATACTGCAATTATGGTTCCAATTACAGCATACATCACAATACTACCAAAATTTTAAAAAAACAGTGCTTTTTCCATATTGATTGCACTTTCAAATAGTATAGGTGGTAATAAAACAATGAGAAAGAATTGACTGAATCCTTGTTTATATTCTTACAAAAGTGAAGATTTGTCAAGAGATAATAGAAATAAACCTGCAGCAATACCTATCATAGCAGTAATAATAGTATTATTTAAGTATTTTTTGAGGTATTGATTATTCATCGAATAATTGGTTAAGATTTCATTGATCACTAGTAGAGTGAGCATAAAGAGAATGGCATTACACAATATTTATACATCCATAATTATATATATATATATATTTATATATTAAATGAGGAATTTAAAATAATTTAAGTCAAAGGATTCATGATTATTTTGTTTAATCAAAGACAAAGATCTTTTCATTGTTTGCTTGATATTCATAACCTGCAAATTATTATTAAACATTGGGATCTCTTAACAATTGAATATTTTAAGCAATGAGTTCAGCATTTTCTTCATCTTCAATGACAATTTATCTTTAATCAAAGTTATCATCACTAGGATTAGGAATGAACGGAGCTTTTAATTCTCTATTTTATAGTTTTGACCATGGGAAATTTTTAAACCAGGGATGTAATTTGATTTCATGGCCACCATTGAAACCGAGACGACTTACAGGTTTACGTTAAAGTAATCTATTAACAAAATCAACAGCTTCAACACTCCAATTTGGAGGTACTTCACTAGCTTTGATTTAGACTTGTCGAGCAAGAATTTAATCACGAATCTCTTGGCGAGATCTACCAACATAAGGACGCTATAATATATAAATAGAGAATATATTATTACTCTTCCTAACATAAACTCATATGCAATAACACCAAGAGCATAATAATCAACAGCAAATGTATGATTTTATCGACACATAACTTCAGGTGCTTGTTTATATTTATATAATTAATAAATACCCATATAACCAGGAGTTCCAGATGTATCACTTGAATTTTCTTATTTCATAACACGTGCAATTCCGAGATCTGTGAGATGTACAAATCCTTTCTCATCAAGAACTAAGTTTTCTGGTTTAATGTCTCTATGAATTATATTATTTGTATGTAAATACTCGAGACCTATAAAAATAGATGCTACAAAGAACTCTAAAATATTATAATATACTTACTAGTTTATTCTTCATTAAATCGTCTCATTCTTCCTATATGAAATCGTAAATCCCCTCCACACATATAATCCATAACGAGATAAAGATTTTCACGATCTTAAAATGCATAATACATATTAATAAGAAATGTATGCTTAAGTTAGCTGAGTAACATTCTTTCATTCATAACAGAATTAACACTTTTTTTAGTAATTACTAAAGCTTTTGACATTTCTTTCATAGCAAATTATTGTCCTGTTCTTTTAACTTTCCAAACTTTACCAAATCCACCAATACCAATTACATATTCAAATGTAAAAGCTGATTTATTGATTTATTTCATATCTGTAGTTTTTGGACTTACTACTTCAGTCTCTTTATTCACTTTACGTACTTAAGCGGAGTCATTTCTAATATGAATAGGACCTGTTGGAGTTTTAGCTGACATAGCAATTGCACGAGCTTTGGCTATTAATTGAGTCATTGAATCTTTTGATCCCTCTGATTATGATTATTTCACTTTCTACTGTTTCATTAATGTAGCTAATTTAGTTAAATCTATTGATGAATTTTTATGAGGGTAAAGGGCTTTTGGCAAACTCACTTAAGTTGGAGATACAGCGGGACTTTAAATTGTATATTAAGATGGGCTTTTCGATTTCAATAATAATGTATTGATTAGTTTATTATTTGGACTACTCGCTTAACTCATCTTAGGAGTTTGCTTCATTATATTAATTAATGAGTATTATTGAATTAAGAGTTTGCGGAAGGTAACATAAGATTATCAATTATAATTATAGATATAAGTTAGGACCTAAGATAGGAGTAGGAAGCTTTGGTTAAATATATCTTGCCAAGAATGTTTAATCAAATTAAGATGTAGCTATTAAAATTGAAGAAGTTAAATCTAAACATCCTTAGTTATTATATGAAGGTAAGATCCTTTAAAATCTACAAGGAGGTGTAGGCATACCTTCAATGTTATGGTTTGTATTTTTCGTTAAACTATTTTTTAGGTGCGGTTAAGAAAATGATTTTAATTTTCTCGTTATGGATCTCTTAGGTCAAAATCTAGAAGAATTGTTAGTCTTATGTAAAAGGGCTTTCACACTTAAAACAGTCCTCATGTTAGCAGATCAATTAATCTCTAATCTAGAATATATACATTTTAAAAATTACGTTCATCGTGACATTAAACCTGAAAATTTTTTAATGGGTTGTGCTAAAAAATCACATATAGTTTATACAATAGATTTTGGACTTTCTAAAAGATATAGAGATGCTCGTACTCATGAACACATTCCACTTAAAGAAGGTAAACCACTAATTGGAACTGCTCGTTATGCTAGTATTAATACTCATAAAGGATTTGAATAATCAAGAAGAGATGATCTAGAAGCTTTAGGATATATGCTCATTTATTTTCTTAAAGGAACTTTACCATGGCAAGGAATTAGAGCAAATAGAAAAGAAGAAAAATACTTAAAAATTATGGAAAAAAAAATATCTACTCCTATTGATCAATTATGCAAAGGTATATCAATATTTTTATTTATTATTTTAGGTGTTCCTAATGAATTTTAATAATTTATGAATTATGTTAGAAATCTTAGATATGATGAAAAACCAGATTATTCATTTTTAAAAAAAATTTTTAAGGAAAGATTTGTTAAAGAAGGATATGAATATGATTATGTTTATGATTGGATCTTAATACCTATGAGCACTCGAAGTCCATTTTATAGTAGTAAAATTCCACTCACTATTGAATTACTATAAAATGAAGAAAAGTAAATCTATTGTTTTTAATTTTTAGATTTTTAATCAAAGAATATGAAAAAGATAGATTTGGAGAATCTAATTTTAGTAATTGGAATATGATAGATGATTTGGATAATAATTAAGATGAAGTTGAATAATAACCAGATTAAAACATTAAACCTGTTGAACAATAAAAACCAAAAAAATAAGAAGTTTAATAACCAGCATAACAATAAAAAAAAGATAAAGATTGCATTATATTCTGAAATCTTATTGCAATCAATATATAATATATTATCATTAATTATTAATCTATTTTTAAATTTGATCATTTACTCTTCAGAAATCTATATTCTAATCACTTAATCAATTATTTTTGTCCTTAAATTGTACCAAATCATGCTAACTTAAAATAATTTAAAATATCAAATTATTTCTCTTGATTGATATTTATACTCTCCATTTATATTTGAAAAATTTAACATTTTTTTAACTAACATTATTTTATTAATTTCAGTTTAAATAATAAATATAAGCAGAAAATATTATTTTAACTTATTTCAATTGTTTCTGTTTAAGTCTTTTAAGCTTTTTTATATCAACCTTGACTATTTCCATCATTTATCTAAAATAATATCTAATTTTTTTATAATATCTAAAAAATATTAGTTTTAAAATTTATCTATTTGTTTGCCTTTTATCCAATTTTTTTTTCTATTATTTAATAAGAATCTTTGTTTTCAGAAATTTAACTATCTCAAAATCATTTTAATTCATTTATAAATAAAATTCAAATTAATTGATATTTCTCTTAGAAATTAGAAAGAATGAATGATTTGAAGCCAAAATTTATAAGATAGAATAGAAGTCAAATTCTGTACAATTTTATATCTTCTATTTTTTTCAAGAATTATTCTAATATCTAACTATCTAGATTATCAATTAATTTTAATTATTTATCTTAATTTATCTCATTATTTATCTTTATATGTTGAGATTAATTAATTTAAATCTTTAAAATTTATAGTCTCATTATTTTTTTTGAAGTTAGTTGATCTTAATTAGATTAAAGCATTAAATTTTTAGCATTAAAGGTATCATGCATATAATTAGCTGATACTTATACTTTTTTTGTAGTAATTCAAATTAGATTGTAGATTTGAATTTATTATCGAGCCAATATCATATAATTTATAATTTCGATTATTTGTTAATTAAAATATATTTTATTAAATTCACTTTTGAGAGAGGAGATTATTTTTGCAAAAAATTGTTAAAAAATGAACTTTCATATTTTATATATAGATTTCAATTATAAATTTTGAGAGTATAAAATAATAATATAATTTTAAATATCATATTTTTAACAATGTAAGATTAAGTCAAAGAATTAATTGAAGAGATAATTCCTAATGTAAAATAAAATTCTTAATAATTTAGATTAGAGTAGAAGTAATTAAAGAGTAGAATAGTTTTAAGCAAAATAAGAAATCACAGATTCACAATTTATTAGTAATTAATTGGCAGAAAAACGAAGAGAGGTTTAAACTTGACACATAATGCATTTTAGCTAGCATAATAGATTATGAATTAAATTGAATAAGAATTTGAATAGGATAAGCAATCTTTAATTCGTACTTTTTCTTTAAGTTTAAGTCAAAGCAGATCTATGCAAGTATTAGAATAATAGTATTAATTTATTATCATAGAGGGATTAAGATAAAAAATATAAAGAGAATACACAGGATATGTAGAAGAAGAAGTAAGATAAAAAACCACAATTTAATTAAATTGAATTGTTAAAAAAAATATGATGAAGAAAGAATAGAAATGAAAAATTTAATGACTAATGAATTTACTGAAAAATTATAAATTCATTTAGAACAGCTAGAATAAAGTATTATTAATTTATAGTTCCAAAGCAAAATCTTAATTGACAATTGATTATTTGAATTAAAGAGAAAAATTACTAAGAATTGAGGCTGAAACTAAAAAATTTTAATCATAAAAAGAAAACTAAGAAAATGTATACGGATCATAGATTTAAGAAATTTATGAATAGATTAAGATAATTCAAGATTAGTTATCATAAATTAAAAAAAATAGGTAATTCAACCTATCCAAAATGAAACATAATCTGAATAATCACCATATTAATCTACAATTTAAAAATTAAATCCTTAAAGAATGTTTCGTTTATGAAGGATTAAATATTGTAAATTTTGATGATTTACCAGAAAAATATTATTTGAAAATAAAACCAAATATATTTGACTAAAAATAAGAAATTTAAAATATGATACCATAAAAAATGAATCAAATAATATTAAAAAATAAGATATAATCTAAACAATAAATACTTAAATTAATACTCTTGATACTTAAAAATAATATCATTTAATGTTTTTAGCTTTCAATTGTTAAAAATACTATATATCAGACAAAATTATAAAATTTTACAAACACCACTTTATAAAAGTAATAATTTTCATAACATTAATAAATTTAAAAGCAATAATTAATTCAATAAGAAAAAGAGAATGATCCTTCAATACAAAAACTTCTAATAATTTAAAAGATATAGTTTAGACAATTAAACAATTAAATCTTAATTGATCAATCAATCAACAATAATAAAAAATTGGAAAATTTTGTAAAGTAAAATTAGATAAATCTCAAAGTATTGATAATTAGAGATCATCTAAAATCTAATTACCATAAGATCATTTTGAAGAACTTTTTAGATAACCAAACAACAAAAAATATTGAATTATTAAGATAAGAATTTTAAACAAAATTTTTAGAGGATATTTAATTAGAAGATTATTATTTTTAATAGATCACTTACTTCAAACTTAAGGTCATATAATAGTTTCCAAAAAATTAATAATCACAAATAGCAGAATAAATTTTAGAATTAATATCTATTTGGAATAAAGGACAATTTATCTTTTTCTGAAAGAATAGATTATATTAAGAGGATTATCAATAGTTCAAATTCCACATGAGAATAAAGTAGATTTTGGAAGAATGTCTAATCTGTATAAATAATAACGACGATCGTTTAGATCTTAAATTATAAAACTAAATTATTTGTAATAAAACGTTTAACTTATGAAATTAAAGGATTACTCAAATAAAAATTCTTATGAAGAGAAGTTGATGTTGATTAAATTATGATAATTGATTAATTTGAGTAAAATCTGATAAATAGAAAGGAAATTAAAGAAGTAATCAAGAAGAAAGTCAAAAGAAAGTTTTAATGATAATAAATTTTTTTCTACTTTAAATGCTAGGCTTAATAAAGTTTGTTGTAATATTAATGAATTAATTTTGATTTTTTAAATATCTTATTCTATAGTACTTTTAATTATATTAAATAAAATTGTTAGAGATCATAATGATGGATAGCTTTCTATCTCTTTCCTTGTTACTGCTAATTTTATCTAAATGTAACTAGGCATAAACTATAGATTACATTAAAATAAAATTTCTTCATAAGTGCGATGATGGCAATATCTTTACTTTTGATGGTTGTTTTAATTTATAATAATTATGTTAAGAATCATGTCAGGTTTGTTTATATGGAGAATGCCTTTTGTATGAAGAAAATGAAAAAATTTTGTGTGTTTCCGGTGAATGTGTAATGATTCAAGAAGTTGTCAATCCATTAATTTCATCCTAAAAAAGCTCAGATATAATGTTCTAAAATTAAAATGGATAACCTATCTGTGGGGATAATAAAATTTCTGGGGATGAGTAATGTGAAGATGGCAATGATATTCCTTTTGATGGATGCTTTAATTGTAGATATTAGTGTGAGGAATTATGTTTAATATGTATTAAGGGTTATTGCATTTAAAAGGATACACGTAATTATAAATCAGAATTATTTAACATATAATTTAACATCACCTATGAGCCATCTATTATTAATTCATCTGATGATGATAAAATTCCATAAATTTTAAAATGTAAAAACTTTGTTAATAATATTTGTATTTTTTGTATCGAGGGATATTATCTAAATTCAGTTACTAATTAGTGTAAAACACATTGTGGAGATTATATTGTTTAGGGTAAGGAAGAATGTGATGATGGTAACTAAGAGAATCATGATGGATGTTCATAATGCAAATTAATAAAGTACAATCAATGTAATTAAGAAGGATAAAATTTTTGTTCTGTTTGTGAATATGGGAAATGTTTAAAGTGTATTGATGGATACTTATTATAAAATTATATCTGTACAACATAATGCGGAGATGGATAAGTTAATGCTATTGAAAATGAAGAATGCGATAACCCTGATGATAAAGGTTGTATACATTGTAAGATTCATCCTTCTTATATATGTGTAGGACCAACTTTTTCCCTTTGTCTTACTTGTGAAATAAATTGTATCTAATGTTAAAGTCTAGATTATTCACTCACTTGTCAAAAATGTATAGATGGATATTATCCTATTGGAAAATAGTGCAGACCTTGTGATGATAATTGTGTAAGTTGTTAAGGATAATCATTTCTTTGTACATCATGTTATAGAAAAGATTGTGATTTTTGTGAAAATTATGAAGGATTTTACACTGATGTAGAAAATAAAGTTTGTATTACTATTTGTGGTGATGGGATATTAATTAAATAATTTGAAGAATGTGATGATGGTAATTTATTAGATGAAGATGGATGTGATTCTAATTGTCATTTAGAAGGAAATAAAATTGATTACTCTAATTTATAAATCTTAAAATCAATTAAACCCTATTAATATCAATTTTAAATGGGAAATGAATAAAATAAATACACTTTAGATTGTTATAATGCTAACATTAAAATAGATTCTTATAATTCTAATTAATTTCAATATACAATAGAAAGTTAAGAAGATCTCTGTATAATCTAATTTACATTCTTTTCAACTATTTATTCATATAATGTGATTCATGTTATATTTTATTTTTATGAAACTAAATCAAGGAGTTTATAATAATAAGAAAACACAATTTAATTTGACATAAAACCTGAAGAATTTATTGTTAAATCTGATAATCAATTATAATAGGCTAATTCAATATCTAATGCATAAGAATCATTTGGTTTTATTTTTTTGATTTTGATCCCAATATCAATTATAACAAATCTATTTGATTATTTATGGGCTGTTTTGGAGATTTTAAGTTGGATCAATAACTTTTATTTTTTAAATGTTAATTACCCTTTCAATGTAGAAACATTTTTATTAAATTCTGATTGGTCAAATTTTTTTAATTTTCCAACTTATTAAGGATTGAATTAACCTGATTGTGATTATTATTTTAAAGCTCCCTTGAGATTTCAATATAAAGGAATCAATCCATTATTTTTTAATAATGTTTAGATACCTTTGATGTTTATTTTCTCATCCATTGTTGTATATCTACTTATTACATTTCTTCTCAAGATCTTGAGATTGAAAAATTAAACTTAAATAGAGTAAAAAATTATTTAATCTAAAAAAAAATTTAGTATTTTTAAATTAAATGATAATACCTAAACTTAAAAATTAAAAAATTAAGAAAAAATAAAAAGTAATAAAAAAAAAAATTTCCGAAATCATAAAATATTAGATTCTTTAATCAATTTGTTATGTTTAGTTTAGAAAGAACTCAAAAAGAAAATTAAATAAACTGTTTCTTTATGCTTTCTAGACATAACTTTAGCTATTATGCTTTAATTAAATAATGCCCAACACCTAAATAATTTTGTAGTTGCTATTAATTAGATTATTGCTTTTTTTTCAATAAGCCTAATCCTATATTATTTATATGAATGCTTTTAAACAATTAACATTCATAAACATTTAGCTGAGAATTAGTTTTTTAAAGAAAAGTATTATATTTACTATGAAAATGTTAATACAAATTCAAGTTATGGTTATAAGTATAAATTTGTTGGACTTTTAAGAAAAATATTCTATATATTTTTTATGGTTTATTGTTATGATACTCCATTGTTACAAACTCTTTGTTGTTTTTTATCAAGTAATTTAGGGTTGGCTCTTATCTTATACGAGAATCCTTATTAAACAAAATTTTAATTCATTTTTTAATTTTTCTCAGATTTAAGTTTAAGTTCAATACTTTTTATTATAGTTTTATTTGCTTTTAATGATTAACGATAGGTATCATTTATTGAAGATAAAAAAATAATTTTAGGATGGATAATTATAGCATTTGTAATATTAGCTTTGTCAGTTGAAATAATAGTACTATTTTTTTAATTAATATTATCATTCTACTCTGCTTTTAAATTAATGAAAAGTTTAATAATGAGCATTTTTAAAAAGAAAGAAGAGAATTAAAATAAAATTGAATAATTTTAAGATCGTTTGGAAAATAATTAGGTTCCATAATAAGAATAATAAGAATAATAATCAGAATAATAATAAGAATAATCAGAATAATAATCAGAATAATAAGAATAAGAATAGGAGTTACAAGATTAAATGAAGTTCAATATTAATAAAAGTGAAATACCTAATCAGTAATCAGAAAAGAATTTAGATGAAATGAAGTTAACAAAATTAAAAAGTTAAACCATATAACTTACTTTAGAAAAATAAACTTTAAATAATATTTGTACTATGAATGATTCTCATATATAATATTGATTTAAATAATTTTAATAAATATATATATCATTGTAAAAATAACACTGTGATTATAAATTTGATTTTAGTAAAAATAGTTTATATATAATTCATATACAATAAATGAATTTTTTTTATTTTTTTGATTTTTTGCAATAATAAACTTATTAGTGTTTTTATTTAATATTGATGATTATTTGTTAATATATTTAATAAAAGCATGGCAACATTTTAAGAGAGATTTAAGGGGAAAACAACAGTAATGGGTAGAAATGGATTAGAATCAGTATTGAATACATGCTAATAGCCAATTAAGAAAGAAGTTGATTGTATGATTATCAAATAATGAAGATCATAATAAACCACCTTTAATGTATTAGGGATTATAGTAATAAACAAATACTTAAATATCTCCAATAAAAATATAATACAATAAGCAGTTAAATAATTAAATGTTATATTAACATAATCCATATAATGGAGAATAATAAATATAAGATTCTCTCTAATATTTAAATCAATAATAATACTTTTAGCCAATAGCAAATTATTAAGTCTCAACAGAACCATAAAAAAAAGATGAAAATCGATCAAAATCAGCAAAATAATAATTAGATTCAGCAGATGAATCATAACGCTATAAACCTTATACTTTAAAAGATTATGAAACAATGAAGAAGACAGCAAATACAAAATTAGGAGGATTAGGTCCTAATTTAAGTGGAGATGAATGGACAAAAGAAAAAGAAAAAGTATTGAAACGTCAAGAATTTGCAGAATAAGTTAGATAATTTAATTCAACAAATATTATAACTACAAGAATAAAAGAACCTAAATAATCTGAACCTAATGCAAGGTATATTAAGTTTAAATTTAGAACAAAAGCAATGGATTTTGCTAGAAATATTCCTAAACCATAACCAAGAAAAAAAGAAGAATAAATAGTAAAAAGTATACCTAATAAACCATAATCCTAAAAAAATAGTATTAGTAGAGATCCTTTTGATGATGAAATTGCTCGTCTTGAAAGAGAACATCTAAAATATTTGAACTAATTAGATAAAATTAAATGAATTTTATATATATATATATATATTTATAATTAATTAATGAGTCTTGAAGAATTTGATGCATTTACTTCTTTAAAGGCTTTAAGAGATTTAAAAAAGTAAATAGAAGCTAAAGCTTAAGTTGATTAAAAATCTAGAGCTGCATTATAATATATTTAGAAGGCATAACCTTTAAGTTAATATGATTTGAGAATACAATTTTAACATTGGTTAGCTAAATTAGGAGATTTAAGTACTAAATAAATTGCCTATTCAAATATATTCTAATTAGTTTAGTAAAATCAATCATAACCAAATCTATAATTATTAATTACTTGTTTGTAAACTCCAATTAATGGGAAAGGAAGTGAAAGTATTATAAAAACCATTAATATAATTGTTGGAATATATGGTGATACAATAAGTGTTACTGATATTTATAAACTTATTGAAATTATGCTTAAATACTTTAATGTATTAAAAATATCATTTTTTTAGGATTCAAATAACAATGTTTAATAAGCAATCAGTGAATGTTGGTCTAATGTTTATATCAAAAATACATCCAAGAAACCTGTATAATAAAGAGTATTACTCATGTATTCAACTCTAAGTTAATTAATTGGATCTGGAGGAAGTAGATAAACATAAGAAACTGCTACTATTGTATTATCATAATTATTTGAAACTTTAACAACTGCTCAAGATTTAACATTTATTAAAGATGTTGTAAAAGATTATTTAGCAATTTATTTGGTATTTTTATTAAATTTATTAGAAATAACAAATAGATCATTCTGGATTTTATACTATCATGTTCTATATTATTAAAACATTATAAATATAAAGTTTTACAAGTTAATAAATTCAAGTCATTGATAAAACACTTTAAGGAATTAATAACTAAAAACTCAATTACAGAGTATTATATATTATATGATGTTATTTTAGACTAGAGTAGGAGCATTGAATCTAATGAAATTAATTGCTTCTTAATATTAAAATTCTAATTTTAAAATAGCTTTAGGAAATTTACACGAATAAGTTATCATTGTATTAGAAGATTCAACCAGAGATAGAGTAATTGCAGTATAAAATGCGGCAAGGACAGCTTTAAAAGAATGGATGAGACTTAAATTGTAAATTGATTGTGATATAATTCCTAATTCTGTTTCTCTAGATTAATCTCCAGGTTTTTTAAAAAAATAAAGTGGTAGTGGAGGTGGATAGGTTTATATAAATCAAAAAATACAACCTTAATAATAATTAAAATAAGATATTAAACAAGTATTAATTGAAGATCAATTTGAAAATACTGTTGATTACACAAATATTATTCATGAACCTAATCTTAATGTATGGTAAAAGGCTATGAGACTTTAATAAGATGGTTTATTAGAGGATGCAGTTGAATTATTGCTTCATGAAGGAGATGATCTATATTTAATAAGATTCTTGATGAGCTATAAAAACTACTCTTAATTATTTGATTAACTTTCAAACTCTTTAGCTTTGAGATTGATTGATACATTAATATTAATCTTAGAATCTGATTTCCTAAATATTTTATGTTTAGATTTCATTTAGTAATTTATTGATTGTGGATTGGGGGATTGGTTTAAAGATACTGAATTTGTTGATTATTTAGAATATAACACAGAGTAAAATTTACCTTCCACTAATTTATGCAAAAAAGTTAAAGACTAATTGAAGTGATTATATATATCAATATTAAATTAAATTTTCCTTTGAATGGAATCATAAAAGATAAAAAATCCCAAATTTATGAAGATTTTTTTTATTTTCTTCAGTGCCTTCTAAGATGATTGCATTGAATTAAAATCACAAGGAATATTAAGGTTATAAATTTAATATTTAATGAGTATTCTAAAAACATAAATTAAAAAAGAAATAACAAAATTATTTAAAAAACTAAAATTTTATTTTGATTTCAATTTACTTAATGTGTAAATAAAAAGGACATGAAAATTGTTGCCAATTTTATAATTTTTATAAATAATAAATATTATAAGTAAATAATTAGAACGAATATACATCATTTATTATATCAAAATATTGTTAATACTTTTGATATTCATAAATTATCAAATAATAATATTTTTTGTAATTGTATTTTTATAAAAATTTTCAAAAATTATATTAAAAAATTATTAAATGGAAGTCTAATAATCTTTGACTGTTTGTGTAACTGGTGCTGCAGGATAAATTGCCTACAGTTTTATTCCACTACTTTTGTCTGGTTAAGTTTTTGGTTAGGTTAAAATCAACTTAAGATTATTGGATATTCCAAAAATGGAAACAGCATTAAAAGGAGTTGTAATGGAAATTGAAGATTGTGCTTATCCTTTAATTGGAGATATTCAATCTGGTTCAAATCCTAAAGAATTATTTAAAAATTGCGATTTAATAGGTAATAATATATTTTATCTTAAGTATTTTTGGGAGGATTTCCTCGCTTACCAGGAATGGAGAGAAAAGATTTATTATAAAAAAATGCTAATATTTTTAAAGAGTAAGGAGAAGCATTATAAGAAGTAGGAAAAGACGATGTAAAATGTTTGGTTGTTGCAAATCCTGCAAATACAAATTGTTTAATTTTAAGTAGATATGCAACTAAGTATATTAACAATTTTAATTTAGAATTCCTCGTTAAAATTTTACTTGTTTAACTCGTTTAGATTAGAATAGAGCATATGCATAAGTTGCTTAAGCATTAAATAAACCATTAAGTAGCCTTAAGAATATCATAATTTGGGGTAATCATTCAACTACTCAATATCCTTCTATTGAACATGCAACAGCTGATGGATAATCTTTTGTTTTAACAGATTAAGGTTAATTTATAGAAAGAATTTAAAAAAGAGGAGCTGAAGTTTTAAATGCTAGAGGTAATAGTAGCGTTTTTTCTGCTGCAAATGCTGTAAAAGGTATTTTTTATTAATACTATTATAGATCATATAAAAGATTGGTTTAATGGAAGAGAAGATACTTTATTGTCTCTTGGAGTTCTTTCAAATGGAGAATATGGTGTGTAAAGTGGATTATGTTTTTCATTTCCAATTAGATGTTCTGGTGCATTTAAATATGAAATTGTTTCAAATTTAGAATTGAGTGATTTTTCTAAATAAAAACTAAAAGTAACTGAAGAAGAACTTATATAAGAAAAGGGTTTAGCAGAATCAATTTGATTGATAAAGGTTTTCTTAATAAAAAAATAAATATAAAAATTAAGATTTATCAATAAAAATATATTCATATAAATGTAAATCAAAAAAGTGATTCACATTTTAACAAATTTAGACTTTTAAAAACGTACCTTCTTCTTATTTTTTTGTTAAGTTGTTTTTTAACTTATCGTTTTTAAAGATTGAGGCTGTTTAAGAATTCCTTTTTTATAATTTTCTGTCTTATTTATAGAGAAATCTAGGCTATTTCTTTAAGTGTTTTAAGATTCTGTTCTTCTATGAGAACTTTCAAAAAAGGATCCATTAGAATCTGAAGGTAAATCTTCATCAATGAATTCTTTGGATTGTTATACTAAGATTTTAGAGATATCCTATTTAGAAGGGCAATGAGTGTATAGTTTTGCATTACATTAAAAAGGATAAGCTCTAACATCATAGTGATCTAATAATAATTGAGGAGATTGTTCAATAGATGGTTGATTTAGAGAGCATGCAGTTCCCATTGAGAGTTTATTTTTAAATATATTAAAAAATGAAAACTTCTCTATGTATTTTTTATTAATATATGAGAGTTTTTTCATATAGAAAAATTGAAATTTAATAATGATAAGACATTTTTACAGATGCAAAAATTGTAATATACTATTTAAGTTAAGTGCGATTTTCTATTCAGGAATTAAAATAAAAAGATTGCAATATTTATAAATATTAAAAATGTACTTTATATATTAATATTAATATTGTTTGAAAAATAGATACATTTATTTATAAGTTTATAGAATGTTGAATAAATTGAAAAAGTGAATTTAACAAGAACAGACTTATTATAATGATAAATAAATTTTAGTGTAGATTGAAAAAAAGATGATAAAAAATATAAATAATTTTCTTTTGATTATTTATGATGATTGATATCAATGATGATGATGATGATCTTCAACTGATCCATGTCTTCTTGCAACAGTTTATTAAGATTCAGCTTCTACTCTTTCAATATATGTTTTGGCTTCCAAATTCATCAGTTAAATATGTTTATTTTATTCTTCATAAGTTTCTAATAATTCAGTAGCAAAACTCTTTTCTCCAGGAACCATTTTTTAAATACCCATATCTCCAGTTATACCTATAAAATAATAATTATAAAATTGAATACTTATATCTAAGAAATGTTTAACTAAGAATGGTCTATCTTATTATACTTTTCTTGGATAGTTTATGACAGGGTTTTTTAAATAATCAGGTTAAATGTTCCAGAATCTTGCTTCATAGAATACTTCATAAGTAAAAATAGCTGCTACAAAAGCTGCAGCAATATATTTAGAATCAAGTATCATATATTTTACAGTATTTTAAGCTGATCGTAAATATGCCTCATCTATGATCAAATTAATAATTACTCTAATTAATAAAATATTCAGGCATTACACCACAATAAAACCATAAATTTGTATCAAATACATCCATCTATAAAAGAATAAAATAACTAAATACTCTTCTTTTATGTTAATATGCAACTGTTAAAGGTACATCTGGTCTATCCCATCCATGACTACCTCTAATTGCTATACTTCTTGAAGCATTTCTTCTTAATATTACACTTAACATTTTGATAAATAATTTTAATATATATATATATAAATATTTGTTTGTAATTATAAAAATATAAAGTTTCATTAATCAATAATCAATTTATCTTTAAACTACATTATTAAATATTAACTGATGTTATCCAAAAGGATTTCCATTTCTGTATTCACCTTCTATTACCAAATCTGGTCTATTCTTATAATGATGAAAAGCTTTAATATTTTTACCATTTAAAACATCATTTTTAAATTATCCTTCATATGTTATTGTTTTCTCTCCCTTTTTCATTAAAGTTAATCTACCTTATCCTTCTCTCTTATTCTTCTTCCAGTCTCCTTCATACTCAGAAAAATCTTCATATCTTTTCTTTCCTTTTCCATGAATAAATCCTAACACAAAATTACCTTCATATATTTCATAATCATTAAAAAAATATTATCCTCCACAACATTACATCCTTTAAGGTTAATACCATTTTAATCTTGCATCCCCATTTTTTACTTAATATTCTAAATGATAATATCCTACATATTAAGTCAATTATCCTTAATCATTCATTTCCAAAACCTATCCCCAATAAAATTTACCTTATCTAAAAAAACCCTTATAAATTGAAGAATATCCTCTCTTTCTCAATATTCCCATTCCATCCGGCTAATCATTAATTGTCTCACCTTTATATTTTGAACCTTAATAATCAAAATATAAAACTTTTCTGTTTTTTTTCTATTATTAATATTTTTAACAATCTTAAGGTATTTAATCTGTTATTTAATAAGATCCTCCTGTTAATTGAAATTGTCTTATATATTTATTCAATGATAAAATATCACCATCATTATCTTTCTCCAATTTTCCTATTGCCTACATAAATGCATCTTAAAAATTATTATTAATATATTTTGAAGATTGTTTTGTGCTCTCTTCTTCATCTACTTCATCTATCTTTTTTATCTATGGTTTATTTTTTATATTATTATTGTCAATTTTATTTATTAGATCTATTTATTCTTGTATTGATTATTTTTATCTTGGCTTTACTTTTTATTTGAAATCTTCAAGAGCTGCCTTATATTTCTACCTTTCTTCTTCATTCAATCTCTTTAGGTATTCATTAGGTAATAATTTATCAAATGAGGGATTTTTTAAAAAATCAATCAATTTTTATTTATTTCCTTCTTCCTCTTACAATTTCTTTATTTCTTTTTATCTTTTCTCAATTGCTGTTTATTAAGGTAATATTCTCTTAGCAAATTTTTTATCTTTTCCAATTATTTCTAACAAATGTTTATAAATTTTAAGTTCTTCTTCATTTAATAAGTCAATGTCTTTATCTTTTAAAATATTTTATAAATTTTTATTTTCTTTTAATTTTTTTAATGCCTCTTTTACTTCTATTATTTATTATATTTAATTAGTAATAATTTAATTACCTTTTACTTTTTCCTTCAGTTATTTTAATTAATCTTCATTTAATATAATAAGTAAATGAGGATTCTTCTCAATTTCATTATTATCATAAACCTTATCAACTTCTTATTTTTTTAATATGAATCCAACGCCATCATTTACATCTTCAATTAATTCAAGTCTCTCTTTCTCTTTTTGCTTCACTATTTCATTAACAACTTACTTTAACACTTTCTTCTTTCCTTTATCTTCTTCATCTTCAAATATTTCTGTTGGATCATTTGTATGTTATTCTAATTTATTAAATACATTTTATATTAATTTTAATTAATCTAAAATATTTCTTTAATCTTCATCTTCTAATTAAATTACTCCTTCATTTAATTTATTTTTTATTATTTATATAGAAAATGGATTTGTTTTATTTTACCCACCTAAATTATTATTATCTGAATCCTCAATAGGTGAAAATAATTATTATTGTTCATCATTTTAGCCAATTTATATAATTTATGATTATTACTTTTTATTTTTATTTTAATTATCTTATTCTTAATCTATAAAACTATTTAATAAACCAAGATTTTCTTAATCTATATAAGAAAATTGATCTACTGCTGCAACCTTTTTAATTTGACTTTGATTATTTTTATTATCATCAAATGGCTGAATTAATTAAATTTAAGATTTATTGACATTCACATCTTCTTTTATTATTTAAGAAGAAATTACATTATTATTAGATTTTCTATCATCATCATTTAAAGAAAGTAAATTTTCATTTGTAGGTATAATTATTAATGAATTTGTTTATTAAGGGTTCCTATTTATAATTTAGCTTTCTATATTTTGATCTTTTATTTATTTTAAACTTACTTTCTATTAATCAGGTTATAATAAATCCTAATTTTTTGGAATTTCTGTAGGATTTTTAAAATTTTCCTCTTCAAAATCATCTATTGCAATTAAATTAATTTATTAATGTGAATTGTATTTCTATGGTTATCCTTAATTTTATTAAATTTGGCTTGAACCTTATTATTATTAATCATCTAAATTTATTAAATCTTAATTTCTTGAATTTAAATATTAAAAGTTTTAGCTATTAGAAAAAGAAACAATACCACTAGAAGTATCATTATTTTTATCTTAAATTGTATTTATCTTTTATGCTTATAAAAATTAAAATGATTAAGTTTAATTTTAATTAAATCTTGGTGATTAATTATGAGAATCTTATTCATCATCATTTAATTATTATAATTAAATTATTTACAATTATTGGATATCTGAATTATTGTTTCTTTATTTATCTAAGTTAATATCTTCAATTTTGTCATCATCTGAAAATAGTTTCATCTTTAAAAAATCTGATTATTAAGGGTTTTCAGTATGATACGGAAATTAAGATGAAATAGGAATAAATTGTTAACCTTTATTATGATTTTAATTTTCATCAATAGGAACTCCTTCTTAATTATGTTAAGCGATCAAATCATAATTTGAGATTACAATAGTTGGTTTCTTCCTATCTCCATTAGATTAATTTTATACAATAGGATTAAGGTCAAAATATTTAGAATTATCAATATTAGTTGATTCATATTTTTAAGTTTATGGTTTCTATCTAGAAGTAGCTGATTAATTGCGACTTGGAGGTTGTTATGGAATTAAGGTTAAATTAGTTTTAGGTTTTTATTCATTATAATTGACAATATCAATTATAAAATTTGAACTTTTAACACTAGAGATATCATCATCAAATTAACCTTAAAGATTTTCAATTTATTAGTTATTAAGAAAATAATTGCCAGGCTTATAGGAGTGAAGAGATATATCATCATAATCTGTATTATGATCAAAAATCTATTTGATAGTAAAAGTTGATTCCATTTAATTTGATTCAGTATTAACCATTTATTTTTATTTGATGAATGTTTGATATACATTTTCAGGATCTTATTTTTCAATTAATAAAGAATAAATAACTTAAGAAAAGATTCCAGCTGAATATTATTTAAGATTCTGAATTTTCTGAAGTAACAATTAATTGTTTAAACCATAATAATCAGTTATCTTATTTGGTAAAGTTTAATTATTTTCAAATACTTGAATCATCATCATAGATATTGCCCATGTGTCAATACTTTTTCTAAATTTTTGATTAGAGATATCGAATTCTTTCCAATTTCTAAAGTCTATATTTTCTTCTTCCATGATTTTTTAATATTCTTTAGGATAAAAGAAAATTAAATTATTCTGCCATTCTTTTTCAGCTTAAGCAGTATATTCTTTAAGAAAATTTTAATAATGAGTTCTTGCACTGCCAAAATCTGTTAATAGAACTTATTTTTTATAATATAAAATATTGTTTGGCTTAAGATTAGTATGCTCAAATTAAGATCGATTCATAATTAAAGCAATTTGTAATAGTTATTCAAATATTTTAACTTATTCTTAAAAAGTAACAGAGTTATCATTCAGATATTAAAATAATGGTTATGCTTCAGGTCCACAATCATACGTAATGTATAGATTTCTTTGATGATTATTTGTTTCAATAGTATAATTTAAAATAGTTAATATTTTATCTGGATATTTAGATGATAGAATTCTTTAATTAAGAAGTTCCTAGTTTACATTATTCTTCCAAGTTAGCCATTCCTTTTTAGTTTCAAAAACTTTTCTTTTGATAACTTTATTGTCTTTAGATACAAATAATTTAGTAAAAAGAGAAGGTCGTGGTATTATCTAAAGAGGTTCATTCAGAGTTTTGAAGGTCTAAGTAGTTACTTGGAAATTAGTATTCATAAAATATAATATAAATATGATCAATGAGTAATAAATTACATATTCAGTTGAAGAGATATTATTTAAAAATGCGAGAACTATTGTTTATAGAGCATCGGATAAATAGAAAAACAATTTTGTAGTAAAGAAGATTTCTTTAGATTATAAAAATGAAGTAGATGTGTGGAAAGCAATTAAAGATAAATAATATTTTGCTAAATTATTAACATTCTTTACAAGTGAACATGAAAATTCAATTAGTTTAATATTTGAATATTTACCTAATACGTTAGCAACTAAAACAGAGATGAATCATCATGAATTTAAGAAATATATCTATTAATTATTGATTGCTATACATTCTCTACATAAATAGGGATATGTACATTGTAATGTAAATCCATAAAATTGTTTGATTAGAGATAATGAGTTAAAACTGTATGATTTTAGTGTGACATAAAAAATTAATGAATAAGGTAAATTCGAAATTATTAACTGTTATACTCCACCTGAAGTTATTTTAGGAAATTGGTATATTACAGAATATTTGGATATATGGTCAATTGGATGTGTTATATGCGAAGTATTATTAGGGACTAGTTTATTCAAAGGAACTAAACCTATCGATATTCTACTATCAATCATTAAAATACTTGGTACACCTTCAAATCATGAAATTTAATAGATGACTAATTTTACAATTAATAATATAAATCTTCTTTAGGTTAATAAAGTTCCATTTGCAGAACTCTTTAAGTGCAAATTTGATTATTATATTTTGGATTTAATTAGTAGAATGTTAATTTATACACCCAAAGATAGAATTAAAATAGAAGATGCAATAAATCATCCATTTTTTTAATCTGATCCTATACCTCAGATTGTACATCATTCTGATATATTGTATGCATCTAATTTACAAGAACAAGAAGATAAACATAAAAAAGAAATAATTGATTTTGGAGAATACGGAACATTTAAACAAGTAAATAGTTCCACTTGAGTTTTAATTTGATTATATTCTAATATTTTATAATGATATAATCAAATCGAGGACCTCCCCAAAAAAAATATACTCTTAATCTACACAACTCAGCAATCGATTATATTGATAGAATTTTAACAGAGGTCTCAGGTAAAAGGTATCATTTATCAAAGGGATGAAATGCCTTATTCTTGATTAAGAAACAATAGGAATTATTTCACTTATTTACTCTTAATCATAAATATTAAAGAAAGATGTCTATTTAATGGAAAAGATTGATGCTGCAGCTTCAACTAAATAAAAGCTTTAGCATATGAAGGTTATTTTTTTGATACGACCAACTCAAGTATAGAATGCATTATAAATCTTAAGGATAATTAAACACTTTTACTTTAAGAAATAAAAGATAAGAGATTTTGTGAATATTACATATTCTTCACCAACAGTTTAAACAATTTTTATATTGAATAATTGGCAGAAGCTGATGAATCTGATCTAATTAAATAACTTTAAGAAATTTATTTAGATTACTACATTGTACAACCTGATACTTTTACACTAAACATACCTTCTACTATTGCTTTAACTAAAAGTGTTTCATAATGGAATTCAAAAGATGATTAGACTTTTTAAAGAATTCTTGAAGGATTAAGTGCTGCAGTTTACAGTCTTAGAAGAATTCCTATGATTAGATATCAAGGATCAAGTGAAATCTGTGCCAAATTAGCATAAAAATTAAGTTAAACTATGAGAGAAGAATATGAATAATCTTAATCTTAATTTATGTTATCAAATTGTTTACTTTTAATTTTAGATAGAAGAGAAGATCCAGCAACATTATTATTAAATTAATGGACATATTAAGCTATGTTACATGAATTAATAGGAATCTAAAATAATAGAATAGATATTAGCTAAGGTTAAAAAGCATTAAATTAAGCTGCTGTATAGTTATTATTTTAATTATTTAGAGTATCAATAAAACTGATTCTGAAAGTGAATTTGTTATATCTTCTTCTTTGGATGACTTTTTTGCTGAAAATCAATACTCAAATTTCGGAGAATTAGCTCAAAACATTAAAGATTTTATTGATAAAGTTACATAATAAAAGAAAGAAACAGTGTAAATAAATTCATTAGAAGATATGCAAAAGGCTGTTGATAAAATTCCAGAAATTAGAAAAATGAGTGGAAATTTATCAAAACATGTTGCTTTAAGTTGTGAATTATCAAAATTAGTTGAAGAAAGATAATTATTAAAAGTATCTAAAGTTGAATAAGACATTGTTTGTAATGAAGCAAAATCTGAACATTAAAGAGCTGTATTTTAGATGCTTGAAGATAGAACCATTTAAAAATATGAAAAATTAAAATTAGTCATGTTATATGCTTTAAGATATGAGAATTGTGACAAAATCTCAAGAATGAAGGATGTGTTAAGAGATTTAGGTGTTAAAAACAATAGTTTAAATTTAATTAATCATCTATTGGATTACTCTGGTAAATCAAAAAGATAAGGAGATTTATTTAGTGATAAGAATATTTTTTCTAAAGCCTAATAAAAGTTTAAATCTGTTTTTAAAGATGTTCCTAATATTTATACTCAACATTAACCATATTTTCTTACTATTTTAGAACAAATTCTAACCAATAAAATTAAAGACAATGAATTTCCAGCAACAAATTTAAATTATTTTAGGGAAAGACCCACTGAAATCATTATTTTTTAAGTTGGTGGAACTTCTTTTGAAGAAATTAAAGAAATAGGATTGTTGAATAAATAGCGTATTTATTTTAGAATAAATAATTAGCTAATTAACCAAGTTTTCTATTAGGAGGTACATACATTCACAATTCAAGAACTTTTCTTGCTGAAATTTGTTAATTAGCATATGAGAATAATATCGATATAATTGTGGATAAATCAAACCCTAGAAATGATAATAAATTTCACAAATTTTGATTGGAATAAAATTGATATTATTTTAAACACACATTAAAACTTATCAATAAATATTATTATAATTAAACAAATAAAAGGGTTACTTATTTTTTAAGTGGCTATTTAAATGATTATTTTTAGATTGTTAAATCATTTATTTTAAAATACAGCATACTGGTTTATTATATCTAGAGAAAAAGCAAGGTTATTCACATTTCTTTGCATTCAAAATTGCACTATATCCAAAAGTAAGAGCATTCTAATAAATAATTATAATAAGATACTTTAATGTTCTTAATTTTAAAAGTGCTGCTTGCAATATTATTACTTTTATTATGAAGATCCAAAATAATTAATTCCTAGGATCCTTAATCGCTAAGTTTAATAGAAATTCTTACAATTGAAAATATTACTATTAATAAATGTTTGGTTCATCAATTTACATATTTTCTGACTAGGATGGTACGATATTGATTATTTTGTTATAATAATCTATATCTTGGCTGTAGAGATCAAAGAAATCTAAAAATGTTTTACCAATTTCTTCGTTATCATTGTCCCTTATTCTTTTAATTTATAACAAAGCAAGAATCATGGTTAAAATGCAATAGCTATTTAAACCACCCTTATTAATTTACTTTAATACTTAGTAAGCATTCAATAGATTTATTGATTTAAAGTAGAACTTTAGCATCAAAGCTAAACTTTTAAACTATTTAAATTCTTTTTAAAATTCAATCATAGAATTTGCAGTCTTTTTTCCTTAATGATCATTTCTACTAATTGTAATATCAATATGTTTTTCTTGAAGCTCTTTTGAACATTACATTTTCAAAACTGGTTTTTTAGCATTTTCAATCACTTTAACATCCTTAATGAAGCTTTTTAACTAAAACTAAATTCTATAATACTTTAAATTATTCTGCAAGTTTAAATAATAAAATAATTTCTTCATTTTCACTTGTTTCTATAACTATGTCTATATCTGAATCTAACAAATTTAGTCCTGTAAAACAAGATCCATAAAGAAAAGCACGTGATTTTGGTTAAATATATTAAACTGTCTTAAAAATCAAATTTTATTTAAAATACCTCATCAACTAAAACTACTAATTTATCAATTATTGGTTTCTGTTCATCTAAGTATTTACTCAACTCTTATGTAAATGTATTAATTTCAAAGGTAAGTTGCCTAAATATCTCCAATATTTAAGTACTTAACAATATCATCTAAATTAATTTTATGCTAGGGTAATGTTTGTTTAGAATCAAAAATTAATTAATTATAAAATGGTTAATTAATAGAAATTGTTTCTGGAACTTAAATTTCTATTTCTTTTTTTTCTTTTGAATCAGTCTAAGTTTCTTTTTCTTATTATTCTATAATTTTCATAATCTTAGGAACAATATCAACTTATTCATCTTATTTTTAAATTTTTTGAGTAATTTCTTATGATTCTTCCTATTTCTTTTTTCTATTTGGAGATTTGATTTATTGATTTTCTTCATTAATTAATAATTCTTTTGTTATATTATTACAAGCAACATCAAGAGGAATTTGATTCTATTTATTTTTCTTTTAAAAAAGAAATTCTTTTTGGCAGATCTACTTAATAATATTTAATTCTCCTTTGCGAGAAACTACATGTAATGCAGTATCTCCAAATTCATCTTAACCAGAAGCTCCATATTTTTCTATAATTTTTGAAGCTGTTTTATAATTGCCTTTGTTTATAGACTTAATTAAATGTTAAGGTTTATCGAGAGTTGTAATTTATAAGAGAGTTTCAACAATATCCCAATTATCTTATTCAGATTATATTGCAATATCAAGTGCTTATTTAATTTATTTTGTTTCTATTTTCTCTCTGTATTTTATTATTTCATTCAAAATATTTATCTTTGCTGTTTTGGCTGCATAAATAATAGCTGTATTACCTTAATTATCCTTATGATTAAAATCTATAGATTGTCTTTAAATTTGAAATATATTTACTTTAAAATTTGTTAAATACATTGAAAGTGATCTTCACTATCTCTTGTGTATTATATACATTCTAAGAAGGCTTAAGAGTAACTTGCTTATGATATTTGATTAGTTCGAATATATTTTTCTAAATCAACATATTATCCTAAGAATTATATTAGGTTTCTGAATACCTTAATTAGTGAATTCGATAATCTTTTGTTGATGGATTTATTATTATTACATTTGTTACATAAACTTTATTTTAATAATAGCAAAATCTTAAAATGAAAGGATCAATATATAATTAGAATACAAAATTTATAATTTTTTTTATTTTAATCATCAAAATTGTAAAGAGGATTCTTATAAAATAAGAGTCCTTTATCCATTGATTAGGATATGAGCAAGTTCAAAGAGTCTCATATTCCCATCCAATTTCTAAGTCTTCACTCTGCCTATTAAGATTGACAAATATGGAATTTGTAATTTCATTCTATTATTTTGATCTGCATATGTTTCATTTATTAGAATACTCAATTCTCTAACTCTAAGGAAACATGATAGTAAGCTAATATCAAAGGAGAACTCAAATTCACTTTAGTTTTTCAATACTATGATACCAACTGAATAAACTTATTGCTTCTATAAAGGTGTTTCTTACCAACTATTGTTTCTTTAAGGATCTCCAGACTTTAGTTTGTAATTCATCCATTTCAATATAGAGAGTTGGGCTTCTATTTTAAATAGATTATTACTTAATCTAATTGATATTACTGATAGCTAATTTATCATCATGATTATAGAGGTTTTTAGATGATGTTTAACTATTCACCTCATCCTTTGTAGAAGCCCTTCTATAAACCATGATGTCAAAGTTACGACAAAATTGACTTGATTCATAACTAGTAGTTCTTCCTAATGTGAAGTTAGAGTCCTTAGCTGGAGCATGGGAATGAAGCATTTACACTTTTCTTAATATTGAATACTCATTCGTTGCCACTACTTATTTCATTAATTAAAAAAATGCTTTGAAGCATTGTTACTGAATTAGGAAATATAAATATAATTATACATATATAATGTAAAATTAATCTTAAGTAAAAAAGAAAAATTATATATAAACAAGTCCAATATTAAAATAACATTCCTTTGATTTTTTATTATATTATTTTCATAATTGTTAATTGAAAATGTGAACAAATAAAAAAATCATATATAAAATGAAAATTCACAAAATTAACCTGCCAATGTAGACTCCTATAAAGATATAATTAGTTTAGTTAATAAACTATATTTAAATTTAAATTAGCCTTATTAATTTACTATAATCGTTTAAAAATATATTTTATTAACTATTAAAAATTAAGAAAATAAATGAAATAAAATGTAAATTTAGTCACTCATTTGTAAACATATATTAAGTTACTTTAATAGAAGGATAAAATTTAATAATTAGGATATGGTAATAAATGTTTATATAATTAATAAAAATAAGTAAAGTTTAATTTATAATTAAAGAAAATAATTGAGAAGAGATGTCTTTTTGATTAATGATATTATTCATGATGAATTTATTTATAAATTTTATATATTAAATAAATTAAAAAAGATTTAAAAATGGTATTGATATACATCTATAGATTTAGGGAGCCCATAAATCATTAAGAATGAAGAAAAGATTAATTAAGGCTAACAAATAAAATAGACCTTTACCAAATTGGTTTAGATACAGAACAGATAACACAATTAGGTATTTGCAATAATAATAAAAAATTAAAGGTATAATTCAAAGAGAAGACATTGGAGAAGAACTAAGCTTAACATAAATTGAGTCTTGAATAATAATATAATTCCATGTACAAGATTGTAGAAAATACTCAATTAAATTCTCCACTTATCTCTTATTAAAACTCTAAAGTCGATGGACATTTAGTGAGTTCTCTGATTAACATTGTTGCATAACTACTTTTCTTTAATTTGAATTTGATAAGTAAACCCTAATATTCTCCTTCATCAATTTAAAGTTCTCCAAAAGAATCAACAACATCCTAATCTTTGTTCTAATACTTGAATAATTGATGTTCAACTTCGGTTGGAATTTAAACCTAAATAAATAGAAAATTAATACAAGATATCTGAAATTGCCATCAATAAAGAATTTATTTGATGCTTCTTCAAAATCTTATTTGGTAATTAATTCCTCTTAAAATATATCTTATAATAATTAAGAAACAATAGATTCCTCTGGGATTGTAATTTTATGTCCATAGATAGGTAATACTACTTAATCAAAAGTATATTATGATATGTTTAATTCTGTTACAAGAATACATGTAGATACAGTTTGTTTTTTATATTATTTTTCATCTTCTTCTGTTATCTATTATATGATATCATCTTCTTCATTATCAGCTCCTTCTTCAGTAACATTTGCACTTACAATATCACCTACTACTACTTTATTTCCATATTTTTAAAGTCTCATAGATGCCATTTTATTCCATATATAACTTTAATATGCATGTAAATATAGTTCTCTTGCATTTCTAGGCAATGATTATAATGCTGTAAAATAATTATGAACTCCATTCTATAATAAATTATCTATCAATTATTTCTCAATTCTTAATCTTGGATTAATTAAATTAGACATTGTAATAAAATCATCTAAGTCGAATAATTAGTTAACTTTTTCATAATCTTCTTATTATGATGACAATATTATCATACGAATACATTCTTTCCAATTCTTCTTTATTATTTCTTTACCTATTTAATGTGTCTTTATTTTATTTTTAGATCCAAATCTTTATAAACCAAAATAATTTACAAATCCATGCAATTTTACATTTTCTATATTCTTTGCTAATTCCCATTATTAATTTTAAGTCAATTCATTTAAAAATCTCAAAGTGACAATAAATTGATTACCATATAAATCTCCTAATCTCATTCCTTGATCTTAATATGAATAATCTATCATTAAAATATTCTAATTCCAAAACTTCCTTTCCTATATCTCTATTAATTAAGATATTTCCATTCCTTATAGACTAGCCCATTAAGTGGTAACACCTCGCTTATCTTTTGTTCCTGCAATAGCAAAATGTTTATTTGATAATCCCAATTATTTAGATATAAACATTCCTGCATTGATAGAATCTAGATTTCTTTTCATCAAGATAAATTTTACAAATTTCTTACTTTCTCCATAAGCTTTATTTGTTGTTTAATTTGCCACATATTTTTTAAAATTTATATTACTTGTTTTTATAAGTATATGATCTTAAAGGGGTTATTCTGATTCCTAAACTTTTTAATTAGCTTTATCTTCTTTCTTTTCTGCTTTATTCTTTTGATTATGAGCATTTTTAGTAAATGATTCAAGGAATGGAATATTTTATCTTATTAAATGATGCACTTTAATTCTATCTTCTTTTGATTAAGGTAATGCAACTTTAGTCTCAAATTATACACATTTTCCAGTACTCTTTACTTTTTCAACTAATTATTTAAATTATTCAGTGATTTCTATACCAAACAATTAATTTGATTATTAAATAAATTCTTCAGATAGATATAGATTTGCAAAAGGTAATGTTCTATCTTTTTGTTAGGGTTTTTGATCTTATTTTTATTCAATATTTTGCCATTTAGTTTTATCAGAAATGATTGCTACTTATCCTTTAAGATCAATTTCTTAAACAATGAAATCTGTAAATCGATGTTTGAATAGACATTTAAATGGTTAACCTTCTTAGAGGAATGATTGAATTCCAACAGCAGATTCCATAAATAATATTTAAAATAATAAATAGTTAATATTAATGTTAAACAATTAATGATGTACAATATTATATATATTTATATAATATGAAAGTAAAGAGGAATGAACTATAGAATGAAATAAATAATTAAATTGCAAACTAATTTTTATTATATTGCACAAAATAATGCCAAATTTTATATTCCCTTTGCTTTATAGGAATAAGACACTTCTAAATCATGTAATAAATACAATGATTGCTAATGATGATAATATAGTGACAGGTGGTCAATAAGGAGAATTGGTAATTTGGTAAAAGAATCTAAATCCAAGAATTGTTATATACCCAAATCTATCTAATGCATTTGGGAAATTATTGAGTTTGAATATAGTTCGAATACCTTTTCTTAACATTTTAGATAGAGCAGAAAAATGTTTAGTGACAATTCATGAGGATAAAAGAATAAGAATATTTGATTGTCAAGATGGTCGGTGTGTTGGAATATCAGCACATGATAGTACAGGATTAGTATAATACTGTATACCTTTGAGTTCCAATAATTGTAGGTTCTTAATGTTGGGAATGTAAAATGGTTTGAGTTTATTTGATCTTTGGAAAATGAAAAATGTTAAACATTATGAGTGTAAAGTACGATCAATGTGTTAGCTTGATATTAATACTATATGTGTCTTAGATTAAGAAAACATTTTACATCTTCTTAATTTATCTCCTCTTAATAATGAAAGATATTTGAATTATAAAGAATTCAAGAAGAAGAAAGAATAAATTAAATTAGATTTTAAAGAGCTTAAATTATGCGATGGATTGAAAAAAATCAAAATTGATGGAATTGGAAGTAATCGAATTAGACATATGAGTTTTAATTAAGAATTTCAACATTTGACTATATTGATGCATCGTTAAGTATATTTAGTATTTGAAATTTTTGAAATACCATGGATTTTATGTGTTAGTTAATCAAAAAATAATTAAAAGTTTACGAAAGTATATTATTCAAAAGAATGCTTCTATATTACTACTAGAAATGGAAATGTTCTTGGATTAGAATATAAGGATATAATATATTTGTTAACTATTTTAAAAGATTAATCTGATTTTGTTTATGGTTTTAAAGAATTTTAATTTACTAAAATTGCAGGCTCTTAATTTAGCAGATTGTAAGTCAATTTTTAAGAATTAATATCTGGTTCTGAAAATTAAAAAGATATTAATGGAATTTTCATTTTAAAGAATATAGTTTACTAATATAAAAATTAATGTTTATGTCAATATAATTTAAAAGATGTTAATTTAGATATGTCATTGATTCGTATAAATTAAGAGGATTCAGACATAAAATTTAATGGATTTAAATGGTCATTTAATACATTTTCTGATTTGATTAAAATCTAAACATTAAAACAAGGATGTAAATAGGTTAGTTAATATAATTTTAAAGAATCTTACAATGATGATTTAGTTTGGAATTTAGGTCAAATGACATCATAATAATTTTAGACTAAATATTTACCTTATATAAATATTGATACACAAATAACTAGTGCATTTATAAGTGTAAATGAGGAGAATTAAATTTATTGGTTTGGTTGTAGTAATGGTATCATCTTTGGATTTCCAACTATATATAGTAGTAAATCTTATTTCATTTACAGAATATAAATGGATATGAAACCAGTGACATTTATATATTAGAAAGCCAAATATTTAGTTGGGAGTTCTGAAAGTGGATAATTTGTGATAATGGAATATAGTATAGTTTTTAATGAAAAGATTGGAGATTAGGAAGTAGAGTTTATAGATTTGGAACCTTCTTAAAGAATATACTTTCCAAGTTATGCAAAGAAAACAATAAGAATTCATAAATTAGAGAATGAATCATATGAAGAAATATAAGGAAATAATCAGTAGTAAAAATTTTTAAAGATTGCTATCTTAATGGAGAACAATGTTATATTGATTATAAATCTATAAGATGGAGAAGTGCAATTGAAATTACATGGTATAAATTAAGAAGTCTTGGGATTGTATTATGAAGATTAAGGAGATTAATGGTTTGTAGTTGTATAGGGTGGTGAATCATTAGTATATGATTATAAGGGTAGATATTTGAGAACATTGATGATAGAGTAGTATCATTCATTATTTTAAGTAGAAAAGAAATTGAATAAGGTGAAAGAAAAGATGATTAGTCATCATCATTTAAGTGAGTTTAAGCGTGAATTCAATAAATCAATAAGTAAAGTTTATAGATTGTTGGAGTTTTAATAAAGGAATAATTATATTAAAATGTAATCTCCTTATCCAAGTTTATATGAAGTAGGTGGTTAATTCAAATAGTGGTAATTTGAAGCTGAATAAGCATCAAAAATGTTATATTTGATAGACCATAATTCAATAAAAAATAATATGAAAATGTGTAAGTTTGTAGAAACTAGCATAGGAGAATTAGAATGGTGGGATTTGAAAAAATAAGGAGATTCTAATAATTAGAATAGATTATTTTTAATGCTACATCCTTGGGAGGCAGATAATCAATTAAGTACTTAATTAGAATAAATATTGAATTATAAGAAACCTACATTCTCTCCTTTAATTGGTGTTTAATCTATGGGATTTTGTGTTAGTTTTTCATTTTCCAGAGGATGGGATGTATCACCTCATTTTACTTCTTAAAGAGCTATGTCATTGATGCATTTTTATTTGTCTTGTTTATCTAAAGAAGCTTAAGTATTCAATCATTTAATGATTCAAACTGTTGAATTACTTACTAAAAAAAAATAAATGCTTGATAAAAATTTTAAGTCTATGGATTTATTTTTATTAGCTTAATATACTATTGATGAATCTAATGAAGTAATGAATGCTGCATGTAATTTAATACTGTCATAAATTAGAAAGTCTGATCAAGATATGCAAGAATAGCATTTATTAATTAGAGAACTTCTTGATTTAAATAAGGAGTAATAAGGACATACATTTTCTAATGTTGAAGTGATACTTCTAATGTTAGAATCCTATTTAGCAGGAATGTGTTAACATCTTTAATAAAATGAAGATTAAAAAAGAAGAGTTATTCAAGGATTACATCTTAAAAATTGTATTGTAAATCCTCATCTTTGTGCACCTCTTCTTAAAGTTTTTGTTGATGTCTAATAACATTTTAGAAATTCCTATAATCCATCTGATATTTTTAAGAATCTATTCTTCATCTTTTTTTAATATAATACTGTTATAGATTATTCAGAAATACTTACATAAGGTAGTTAATAAATGTAATTGATCAATTTATTAAAAGAGATCAGTAAGTAATCAGATGATATGAAAAAAAGAATGAGATAACTCACTGTTAAAAGTATTATTTAAGTTGCAATTGCAACCCCTGCTGAATTTACTAAAATTTTAAATAAAGATATTTAAAATCTGGAAACTCATTTATTATATCCATCCTCTATAATTGAAATCATACGTAATTATATAAAATCTTAACATAATAATATTCATAAACAATTACCTTTCCTTATGGATATTATATTAAAAAGTCTTGATCCAAATAATCCAAATTTACGTAAAGTTTGTCATAGATCTGCTACATATGCTTTATAAACAATTTGTAAAACATTTAAATGTGTTTGTTTCCATTAATAAACTTAGAAGATAGCTATAGGAGATACTCAAATAATTATATATGATTTAAGAACTGCTGTTAAATGGAGAGTTCTAGATGGACATAGTGGTTAAGTGAATTGTCTAGAGTTTGATCATACAGGTAAACAATTAGCCAGTTTTAGTAATACTGATTGGAAGATTAAAATATGGAAAGTAGGATCAACAGGGTATAGAAATTCAATTTATTATTTAGATTCTTTGGAGCCATTATAGGTATACAAGGTAAACCAATGAAAGAAATGTCTGTTAGATAATAATCTTTAGATCAGCCTTAAATTTAATGGTCTTAAGATGATAGTAGAGTATTTTTAATGTCAAATGGACACTCCATTGCACAATGCTAAGTTTGATTTACCAAATAATTAAAATATTAGATATATATTTATCATAAAATCTACTATTTTTCAATATTATTATAATTATTATGAATATTGATTTCTAATACATGGAACTTCTTTCATTACAAAATCCTTTTTTGTCGTACTCATGAATTATTTTTCAAATGCTGGAGTATTCTAAATAGGCTAAACATATATAAAATCCATTTTATTACCTCCTAAAAATTCTTTACTTAATAAGATTTCTCAGGCATTTTTAAATCATGTACTAATTTATTTTATGACTATCCTAAAAATAAATCTATTGTTGGAAAAGGTTTCCCATTAGGTGGTTTTTAACTCTCTAATGACAATATTTTTTATTACAGATATGTCTGCTTATTTTGGTGTTCTAAATTCGCTTCCATATGTCGTTGACGAAGTAAATTTCAATTCTGGTATTACAGTCTTATAATGGCTTTATTTAAATTATTCATGATGCAAGTCTCCATAATCCATATAGAATTTCTAAATATAATTATTTATACATTATAAGATGTCATTGGTGTAGATCCAAGAGTAGCTTAATATTTTGGTTTTTCAATTACGTTATTTGGAAATGCATCACATTATTTATAATCAGTAGCCATAGTTGTTTTAAATTCATTTAAGTCTAAGTTTTAATATCTACCAATAGAATTAAGATTGATTTTAAGTTCTTAATCTTTAAGAGAAGCTTATTTGAACTCTTAATTGTAATGTGATTTCCAAGAAATGTTGGGTTTGAATGGTTAATATTCAAATTTGCATTTACATTTACCACATGGACATTAAACACAAATGCATTTCCCTATCTTTAATCATGTAATTATATACCAGCTAAATGTAGAACAAATGCTTAATAATCAGATAAGTGTTATTCAACCATACATTGAATATGATCATTATTATTATTATCTTGAGAAGGTGGGATTTAATCTTGTTCTATTTATTCGATTTATTCTGTTAAAATATTTTGATTTAGGTTATCTTATTATTATGTATTATAAAGATTTTCTGGTTCTTTTTTTAAGTTTGGAATATAGTTAGTTTCTGAATCTAAACGAGGTAATGATAAAGATTATGATTAATAATGTTTACGAGCAATATTAGATGTAGGAGTAGTAAGAGGAGGAGGAGGAATAGATTATTATTAATATTATTCAATTGGTATAGCTTAATTAGATCCTCTAGTTTTGATCATAATTCTTTTTCCAGATTTTGATAATTTGGAACTTGATGTAGAAAAAGTTTATCTAAACAGTTGCATTTCTTTTTGTTTTTTTTGAAGAACAGTTTGTCGTTCAATTTCACTTAAACGACGTTATTTATCAATAAAAGATTCCTTAACATCAATTGAATAATGTCCTTGTTTAGGTTTGAGTTTTTAGATTATATGTTCAGGAATCATAATTATTCGAATAAAAATAAAAATAATCTTTTATTTTTTGATTTTTAAGGAATGGTGAAGATGAATGTTTTAAATGATTGTTTACGTTCAATCGTAAATGCTGAAAGGTTTAAAAAGAGAATAAATATAATTATAGATAAGGAAGAAAACAAGTATTAATTAGACCTACATCAAAACTGGTAGTGAAATTCTTATAAGTGATGTAAAGACATGGTTATATTGGAGAATTTGAAATAGTAGATGATCATAGAAGTGGAAAAATTGTAGTAGAATTATTAGGTAATTAATAAACTTAAACAAAAAAAGGTCGTATTAATAAATGTGGAGTAATCTCTCCTCGTTATGATGTTACTTTAGGTGAATTTGAAAGATGGGCTAATAATATACTCCCAGCTAGACAATTTGGATGTGTAGTGCTTACAACTAATGTTGGTATACTTACACATGAAGAAGCAAGATAAAGACACATAGGAGGTAAAATCTTAGGTTTCTTTTATTGATATATTTACACAAGTACAATATATATATTTAATATCAATCAATCTCTAATCTATTAGAACAGTCTCTTGTATAAATATCCATTTACTTTGAATATCATTTCTCACTAAATTTATTAAAATTCTTTTATAGCTGTATCTCTTTAACTTTTCTTCATTAAATAATCTATTAATTATATTCCTCTCATCCAAAAAATTTCTTAACTCAAAGTTCTCTTAATTTAATATTCCAACTTCTTCTTTTTTTTCCAAATTTTTTAACTCTTTACCATTTTTTTATGATTTCAAGAACTTATAAATATTCACGATAAGAATTTATAGCTATATTCTATGATCATCATAAAAAACTCTTATTCAATATTAATTTCAATAAAACTGCTATTATATTTATCATATTTTCTTGAATTTTTTATTTTAAATAAAATTTCTATCTGCTTTATTATGGAACTAAATTCCTCTATAAATCGACTAAAATAATAAAAATCCTCTATCTTTAATATATTGCAATCTCTTTAATATTTCATTAATTAATAAATACTCAGTTACTTTCATTCTCCAATTTAATATCTAATAATTTCTAATCACTTTTCCTATAATTATTTGGTTTTTCAATGCTTTTATATAATTTTCTATTTTTTTATTTCTCTACTTTTAATTCCTACTATTTAATTATTTTCTTATTTAATTATTATTCATTAATTAAATTATGATAAAAAATAAGCCTAGATAAAATCTCTGAATTTTAGTTCTATACTATATCAGAAATCCAAGCTAGGCTAAATTAATATCCCATATACCAATATTGTAAAAATTTATCATATTTTTTCAATACCGGACTTGGGATAACAATATCAAAGGAAATCATAAACTTATTCTTATATGACAATAGAAAAATATTTCATTTTTTATATATAATTCATAATAAGGCGTATTTCAAATAATACTTCCCTATATAATTTATTCCAAATGCAAGAATTTTATGCTAAATAATCTTAGCATTCAAATTAAACTAAAATCATTATTATATAAAAATTTTATTATATTATTTTAAATATAAAAGAACCTTATACAAAAATTAAAAATATTTACTAAATAATAATTACACAATTTTATTTTCTTTTATAAATTAAATTTTTAGCTAATAATTTTTGATAAATCTTTTTTAAATAACAATTCCTCTGATGCAATCTAAGCGATATTAGAACTAAAGATTTTATTTTAATATGGTATGGAATTTATTTCTTTAATATTATTATAAATTTATTATTGCGAAATGTTAAGAATTATATTACCTTTGCTTTTAGAGCTATCTTTTTAAGAATCCATAAGAATTTTTTGCCATAAGAATGAAAATTACTTTTTGGGATCATAATGGACACCAATTTATTCATAAAACAGTAATTAATTGAAAAACTAATTAGCATAAAATCAAGAAACTTTAGAATTTATTACAAATATATCAATTTCTAATTTAAATGATCAAAGGGAATTTATTTAGAAATCATACTAATAAAACTAACTACAATTAATTTTTTTTGATTAGGATCATTATTTATGTAAATTTATAAGCTTTAAGTTTAATTATGAAAACAAAATTTTATAAAATTATGAAGAAATCCTATTGTATTAGCTCAATTTCCAGCTGCCACAATGTACTAAATTTCTTAATATGTATTCTATTAACACATATCAGTTGATTTTTTGCGAAGATGATATAAAAACAACACTTTTTGTTTTAGAAAAAGTTGATAATGGAACTCCTTTCAATCTAACAATTAAATCAACTTCATAATTAAATAAAATATAAAATTGTTACTCAGAATTATACTACTCGTTACACAAGGAAACTATTTATTTAGCTTTTTTAAATTGTTAGAATTGGGTTATTTATGTAGTAAATGAATTTAATTTTAAATTATTTATTAATTCTAGTGATTTCAATAATACAGTTTTAAAATCATTTTCAGTCCATAAAAGCATTACTTTATAATTTGAGCATAAAATTTATATACTGAATCATCATAATTAAGGTTATTGGATTTATGAAAACCAATCGCAAGAAATTTAATATTGTTTTAGTGATAATTAAAATCATATAATATTTTTATAAGGAGAAAGAAATATTGTGCTAAAGTCTCAAAATATGAATCATATTTTAATTATTACTAATTAATTTTAGCCAAAATAAGTTTTAAAATTATAAAATTAAATAATTATCAATTATGGTGGATATATTGAAGTCTTAGATAGAATTGATGCAAATTTTATTCTACCTCTCACTATAGATAAATTTATATAAGAATAGGATAATTATCCTTATATTTTTACTTTTTATTTAAATTAAATAATTATATTAAGAATAAACTCTCCAAATCCAACTATTCAATGTGAAAAATTGATGAAAAATGATACTCTTTATTTCACAACTAACAATTTATTTGAAGAAAATCATAATATATAATCTGAAATAATCTTGGATAATTATGAAAATATATTTTAAAAAAGCATTTAATATTAGATCAACTTAAGAAATACAACCTTTTCATTTTATTTGAGTAGATAATTTACTCTTGAAAGAGGTCTAATTCCATTTATTTAGTTTTAAAACTAAAGTAATTTGAGTTGTTATGTTGATTAAGCTGGAAAATCAATGATGTGTGAATAATCTTTACTTACAAACGTCAGATGGCAAAAATTTAAATATAAATAAAAGCTTTATCTATTATTTTAAAAAAGTAATTAAAAATTATATATAAAAAACTGCAATAATAATTTATTGATGGATCTCGGAAAATATGAATTTTTCAAGGAAAATAATATTTATGAAATAAGTCAGTATTTCTTTCTTGTTTTTTAAAAATAAACGAAGATCTTAATATTAAATTTCTAACCATCTTTTATTAATTAGACAATCATCGAATTCAAAGATCAAATTATCGATATTTACTATGAGAATTCATAAATCTATTTAATTACCAAGTCCTGTAACAGTTATGTCCTATAAAACTCATAACAAAAGCTTTTGAATAATAACAAACATTTAATCATTGATGGCACTTGTTACAAAACTAATTATTTTCAGAATAATTTAGGTTATGTTCAAAATGGCTCGATAGTTACTAAAAGAAATAATATTACTAATGTGATAAAATTTTAAAATTAATCTGTAATTAATCTATTCAAACTGGGCTCATAAAAAAGTATTTTTCTTGTTCATTTTTAAAATTATGATGGTGATCTATTTAGCAAGTGTCTTTTCATTAATAATCAATTTATAACACTTTATAGCTTTTCAAAACTAAATTTCAAATATTCTTCTCCCCTAATTTATAAAATTAATAAATATCTTTTGATTGTGGCTGCATATTCTAGTTCTAATATCAATGTACTTTTAGTTTATTATTTTTTTAATTATAACTATAATAGTTTAATTGAAATTATTGAAGTTGATAATTTTAATTTCTAAGTCTCTGATGAAGATATTTTGATATACAATTTTAATTAAGAAGTTAAAATCATCAAAATTAAAATAATTAATTTTATATGTGAAATAAATGAATTTACTGAATTTGTTTAAAATTTTACTTTACCTATTACTTATATTTCCAAATTTAATACTTCTCATGATTAATAATTAGAAATCAATTTAAATTTTCTTAATTTGATTTAGAATTTATCTCATAAAAAATATAAAGCAATTCCTATTTTATTTGAACAATAAAATTTCCCTTTTGATCCTCGATAATATATAAATGGACCTATAAATTAAATTAAATCATCAGATATAACCATTTTGGATCCAATTTAAAAATAAGGTTAAATTTTAAAAGTTGATTGCTAAAAATTAATAAATTAAATTTGTCTTAATCAATACAAATAACAAGTTATTTTAAATGTTTTTAAAAAATAAGAGATAATTACTTTAGCATTAGAAATTCATGAACAAATTATAAATATATTAGCAGCTCAGGATATTCTTATACTAATTTCTTAAAAAAAGCTAAACTTTGAAATTTTAGTTTATAATACCTTTGAAAATTTTTTTTTTACTGAATAAGTTCCATCCTAATGTCATGAAATTCTTTAAATAAAAATTTACCATAAATTTTACATTCTGATATGTCAAAACATAATTTATTTTTATAAAATACATTCAAATTGGCTGGAGACTTTTTCTATTATTCAAACAAATTGCAGTTGTTTAATTATGGAAATCAGTAATTCTGAGAACACTTTACTTTATAAATAAACTAATGAGAAGGGAAGTTTTATTGTTCTTATAACAGTTTATGATAATATAAATAATGATCATTCAAATAGAACATAGATATAGATATTCGAGTTTCCACAAATTTCGCATAACTTTGCAATTTAATATATAACTTATGTTAATAATAATTATTATGAACTTTTGATATTGGAACAAAAAATAGGAATATTGTAATATAATGAAGCTTTTTTGAATATAAGTGAAGGTTTTATTAGATTTAAGAATGATTATGTTCTCTTACGACATTTTTAACATTTAGTAAATTTAGCTGATGTATGTCCAATAGGTAAAGATATAGTTCTGATTTTTGTAATTGATTTTGTTTTAAAATAATAGATTTAGATTTTTAATATCTCCAATGCATAAAATTTAAAATAATTAGATTATATATTNTTGTGGCTGCATATTCTAGTTCTAATATCAATGTACTTTTAGTTTATTATTTTTTTAATTATAACTATAATAGTTTAATTGAAATTATTGAAGTTGATAATTTTAATTTCTAAGTCTCTGATGAAGATATTTTGATATACAATTTTAATTAAGAAGTTAAAATCATCAAAATTAAAATAATTAATTTTATATGTGAAATAAATGAATTTACTGAATTTGTTTAAAATTTTACTTTACCTATTACTTATATTTCCAAATTTAATACTTCTCATGATTAATAATTAGAAATCAATTTAAATTTTCTTAATTTGATTTAGAATTTATCTCATAAAAAATATAAAGCAATTCCTATTTTATTTGAACAATAAAATTTCCCTTTTGATCCTCGATAATATATAAATGGACCTATAAATTAAATTAAATCATCAGATATAACCATTTTGGATCCAATTTAAAAATAAGGTTAAATTTTAAAAGTTGATTGCTAAAAATTAATAAATTAAATTTGTCTTAATCAATACAAATAACAAGTTATTTTAAATGTTTTTAAAAAATAAGAGATAATTACTTTAGCATTAGAAATTCATGAACAAATTATAAATATATTAGCAGCTCAGGATATTCTTATACTAATTTCTTAAAAAAAGCTAAACTTTGAAATTTTAGTTTATAATACCTTTGAAAATTTTTTTTTTACTGAATAAGTTCCATCCTAATGTCATGAAATTCTTTAAATAAAAATTTACCATAAATTTTACATTCTGATATGTCAAAACATAATTTATTTTTATAAAATACATTCAAATTGGCTGGAGACTTTTTCTATTATTCAAACAAATTGCAGTTGTTTAATTATGGAAATCAGTAATTCTGAGAACACTTTACTTTATAAATAAACTAATGAGAAGGGAAGTTTTATTGTTCTTATAACAGTTTATGATAATATAAATAATGATCATTCAAATAGAACATAGATATAGATATTCGAGTTTCCACAAATTTCGCATAACTTTGCAATTTAATATATAACTTATGTTAATAATAATTATTATGAACTTTTGATATTGGAACAAAAAATAGGAATATTGTAATATAATGAAGCTTTTTTGAATATAAGTGAAGGTTTTATTAGATTTAAGAATGATTATGTTCTCTTACGACATTTTTAACATTTAGTAAATTTAGCTGATGTATGTCCAATAGGTAAAGATATAGTTCTGATTTTTGTAATTGATTTTGTTTTAAAATAATAGATTTAGATTTTTAATATCTCCAATGCATAAAATTTAAAATAATTAGATTATATATTTCAATTTTAAATAGATTTTTAATCAAATATACTACCTTGGGATGATTAACATTTCATAATAGAGTCTGAAAATGAGTACACATTATATAAAATAGTTAGTTATGGTTTACTTGGAGGAAATGAGAAAGATAAGATAATACTTGAATTTGAAAATTCAGTATCATCAATAAAAATGGAAATAATAAATTAAAATAATATTGATTAGGAAAAGTAAAATAAAATTTTAAATTATTTATATTATGGAATAGGAATTGTTTTGGTAATTTTTATATATTTTTGTTTTAAATACTAAAAAAGATTAAAGATGTAGAATGAAAAAAAGTGTAAAGAAATAGAATTATGAATTACTCAATGAGTAATTTTCATAAGAATAAACGAGAAAATGATTTGAAATATAAATAAAGTAATATAATTATATTTTATTAAGTTTGTTTTATAAACAAAATTAAATTAATACAAAGACATTGTAAAATAAATTATGTTGTTTTTATTCTTGTAAATTCTTTGGATGTTGAATTTTTGATATAAATGAAAATAATGTGGATTTTTTTTTAGAATTATATAATTAATTAAATATTAAATGAGTAGTTAAGAAGAAGATAATCAATTTGATGAAGAATATGAACAAAATAATTAATAAATAGATGAATTTGAATAAAAGTACAAGTAGAATGGGACATCATCAGAGGATGAAGAACAATATTAATAGAAAAGCTATTAATAAAATAGTAAAGTTGAATAGTTACCATAAATACAGTATAAATGATCATATTGCAGTAGACCATAAAATAAAATAGAAGCTATTTAAAAATAATTAGAATTTTATAAGAAACAACCTCCAAAGACATTGGCAGAGGAATGTGAGGATGTGATAAATTCAAAAAATGAAAGTTTAAAAGATAGAAAGATAAGAGAATTAGTTTAGAAGAATAGATAATTATTGCTTAGTTATGAGAAGGAAAGACAGGCAAGAAAGAAACTTGAAGAATAAGTAAATAAAGCACTGAAAGAGACAGATGAAGGAATAAAGGCTTTAGATAAAAGTATTCCAAAAGCGGCGATTCCAAAAGCAGATCCTTTAGCAAAAGCATTGAAGGGATCAGAATCCTAGAAAGAAGATGTTGGGATAGTAGATGATTACAAGAATAAATTTAAAGATGCTGATAAGAAGGTTTAAGAATAGCGTGTAAAATTATAGTAAGTAAAAACAGAATTGAATAAAGCAATGAGAATAATATAAAGGGAAGTAGGTGAGAATGTAAATTTAGATTAATTGTTATTGGATGAAAATGGATGGAAGGGCAGAGCATAATAGATTGAAATATTGAAATCAAAAGTAAAAGATTTAAATGTAAAATTGGGTTCATCTTCTTAATATTCTGATGTATCTTAAATGTCGAAGCAATCTAAATCAGAAGCTAAGAATAATAGTGAAAAATAATAGTATGAGTTATTGAAATCTTAATATGAAGGAGTAAAATAAGAGAATGAGAATTTGTAATAGAAAATTAAAGCAGTTTCAAGTAGAAGATAAATATTGGAGGATTAGATAAAAGAAGTAAAGGCGGAATATGAAAAGAATAAAAAAGTATTATATAATAATAATTAATTTTTAGATTCTTTTAGAAAAGAGTGAAAATGATGATAAGTACATATTTGCATTAAAATCTGAGTTAGATAAAATGAAGAAGAATTAACCATAATAAGAAACAAAAATAGTTTATAAGCCAGCAGATGATGAAGAGACAAGAAAATTGCGTTAAGAATTGAAGTATTGTAAAGAAGAAATTGGTCGTAATGAATAGATGATAAAAGAATTAATAGCAGAAGTATAAAATTGAAATTATGTTAGAAAGTAAATAGAGTGAAACAGGAAATACCATAATAATAATAATAACAAGAGAAAGTGTAGAGTAAACCAAGTTAGACAGATGAGAAAGTGAAAAGATTAGAGGAAGAGATTAAAGTTTTAAAAAGGGAGAGAGATGAATTCTTTAAGACATTGACAAAAGATGTAGAAACTTAGAAGATGATAAAAGATTTAACATTATAAAATGTAAAGTTGCGAAATAGAATTGATGATTTAACTAAAAAATGAATTCTATTCTTTATTTATTAATATTTTCAAGAATTATAGCTTGATATGCTTGGTCTAGTTTTTGTTTTTTTTATTTATTTTTTATTGTTTGGAAACACTCTTCTGATAACATATTCATCACCTAAAAGCATAACTAATCCAACAATAATAGTTAAAATAAATTGGATAAAATTATAGGATCTGCCATGTTAAATATTAGTATCATAGAGTTTCAATACTTTGAATTACCATTCTTAATAAGTAAAGAATATCCATAAAGTAAATATTAAACTTATGCATATAAAAACTAACATAATTTTATGAGTGAGTATTTTTTGTTTGAATGGTCTTGATGTATAAATTGCAAAAACAGCCATAATAAAATAGATTTGCATACTTTTGAATTGAGTAGTTTGAATGGTTCCCTCTTTTGAAAATTTTCCATCTACTACACCTGGTTCATTTTCCCAATCTAAACTATTCCAATAGAGAAAATTAATGACTAGACCTAATGAGGCAACTATAATTTAAAAACTTAAGACTGCTACATTAGAGAGAGCCATCATACTTTCATTTGGAAGTTCTTTAGTCAAAGTTATTGAAGGTTTAGAAAGTGATATAGATTTAAGATAAGGTAAAGAACCTACATAATTAATAACAATATATTGTAAATCTCCAAAATTTTATCCAAAAGCCATGGTAATCATAGCTGCTGTGTATTTTATCACACTTGCTCCAACATAATATTAGAAAACCTCTAAAGCATTTTAAAGTGCACATCTTCCATCTAATAGTACTTATCTAACACAATCTATACTATCATCTGCACTTGAATAAGGTGCTGAATAAGCAGCATCACTTTATGCAAATGAAACACCTACATTAGCTTATTTTATAGCTGCACAATCATTTGCACCGTCACCAATCATTAAAACCATTTTTTTAAGTTCTTAAAGTTTTTCAATAACCATAGATTTTTATTCTGGTCGCATTCTTGCAAAAACTCTTGCATTTAAACAGATTGAAGCAAATAATTTTATATGTAATTCTTAATCATTTAATCCACCTATTTTTATTTATTCTACATTATTTATTGGTTATTCAAATCCAGCAAAAGATTATTTATTCATTTTTCTTATCTCTTCATTTGGTAATTAACTCCAAAAATAATCAAATGCCTTCCCACTCATTGCAAAACAATGTTATGAACTCAGATTATCATTATCAGAAATAAGAGATCTTTTAATGTTTTAAGCAGTCAATAAATGTTAAACTAATTTTTACATTACTTTTTGATGATCTAATATTTCTTCACTTAGATCTTCAACTTCATCTACAAGAACTTCAATTTCAATGTCCTATTTAGTTTGATTTAGATTTTAGCTATCTTCAAATACACTAATTTCATCTAAGGTCAATTATTGCTAATTAGATTATGAATATAAATACTTCTTTTTCATTGTAATCTAATAGTAATACTGGTTTAATATTAGGAATAATACCACATTCACGTGCACATTATACAGTAGTTAAAGGATTATCTCCAGAGATGACTTTTAAATCAACATTTGCTTTATTTAATAAATCTATAACTTAAGGAGTATCATGTTTTAATTTATTTTCCATAGCTAGTAATCCAAGAAACTAAATATCAGTTTCACATTCTTATCTACTGGCATTCATTAATCTCTCACATTCTTCTTCAGTAATTTGTCTGAATCCGAATCCTAATATTCTTAATCCTTTCATGGTTAATAAATTAAGATTTTTCTTAAAATCTATAGGAATAGTATTTTGATTAGATAATTCTGCCATTTTCTCAGGAGATCCTTTAACGAATACAAAATAATTATCTTTTTCTTTAACTATTACACTCATTCTTTATAAGGCAGATTCAAATTCATATAATTTTAGTACATCTAATACAATATCTTTATTTTTATTGATTACTCTGGATTTAACATTTGGAGGTGGATTTTTATCAATTGTGAAATCTGTAAATTTAAATAACTCAACATCAAGACTATCACCCATTAAATCTCCATCAATTTCATAGGTTCCATGACAAGTAGCAAATAATTTAAATTCAAAATTATTTTTATAATTAACTTAATTTTTGTTAATGAACTTTTCAAATTTATTTTTCTTTCTCATTTGATATCCATACATATCAATTCCTATAGTAGTCAATGTACCTGTTTTATCAAAACAAACTGTATTAATTTTACCTGCAACAAGTGATTTACTTGGATCTATTCCAAAAACACCTTTTTATCTTAATCTAATTAATGAATAAGTCTAACACATTGAAACAAAAATAGGTAAAGCTGGTGGTACTATCCAAGTTAATGCATCCCAAAATCTTAAGAATATAATCATAAAACTAAAGCCAACAGAGATAATTCTAGGTAATAATGCGAAGTAAACTATTAGTACACAAATAGCTAAACATATTAAATATTTAATCCCTTAACTGTAAAATGGAAAAGGTTAAACTTTTGGATATAAAACACTTCTAAATATTTACCCTTTAAATGAACTAAATCCTGTTCTACCTACTATAGCTATAACATATTAATAAGTAGGTCTTGCCAACAATACTTTAGTACCTTCATATAAACAATGTCTCTTATCAACCATAAATGAAACTGGTTAATCTAAATTTTCTATTGGAATCTTTGGAATTGGTATAGATTCACCTGTCAATGAAGCTTCATTCATTAACAAATCCCCTGAAATTAATACACAATCACATGGTAACGTCATCTTATTCTCTATAGCAATCACATCTCCAGGAACCAAATCCTAACTATCCATCTTCTTGAATTATATCCCTTGCTTATAAAATGGTTAATCTCCTCTATAAACTTAAACCTAGGCTAAACTCTTTGCCATATCTCTCAATTTCTAAGCAGAATTTTGAAGAAGCAGAAAGTTTATTGTCGTAAATATTAATGATACAGATATCATTATTATTGATAATATTGCCAAGTCTATATTATTTATTCAATCATTACCTTCCAATACCCATAAAAAACATGATAAATATTATAATATGTAAAATGGGGCTGTTAATTCTTTCACCAAATATACAAACAAATTAGGCTTGGGAATGTCAATTAAACATTTCCCGAACTTCTCTTACTATTATCTTGGATCTACCTTTATTAATTAAATATTACTTTATACGCCATTTGCTTATAGTAATTCTCTCTTTGTTCTCAAATCATATTCAAGAGCTTTAAATTTATTCATTGCACTATCATATATGTACTTTAGTTTGCGATTTATGAAATAAACTTAGCTTTGTTACTATATTAACTTTGCAATATTATTTGAATTATCATTATTTGTAATCCACATATGGGTTGCCCTATCTAATTATGATTCTTTAAAAAAGAACTTTCTAACTAACTTCTTTGACCAACTACAAGCTAAAGTAAATAAAAAGCTTGTGATCACAGAAAGCAACACTCCTAGTACTATTCTTCTCTTTTATAATCTTATTGGTTCTATATTTGTTATTTTTGTTGTCCCTTCGATTTCACTATCAATTACCTCTATATTTGCTTCTTTAGGTAAAAGACTATTAGGATCCATTAAATATATTAATAATAATTTATCCGAAACTCATGATTCATTTGTTTATAAATGGTGTAATATATGGATTTCTCATTAGGATTATTGCATATTAATTAATAAACTTATTAGATAATAATGGAATCTCTATATAAAACCATAAGATTTATTTATTAAAATAATGTATATCAGTCTCTCCTAAAATAATAAGCCTTGGTGGACTCACACATCACTTGTAACAACAGAGACTTAAAATAAAGTTGTAGAATTAGTGAATGGAGTGGGAAGTTTTTAGAATAAGGCATCTTTAATTTCAACATATTTGAGTTTGGAGGCAGTCAATCGTATTCCAGGTGCAAAGAAATTGGCAATTTATTTTAAGGCAGGAATAGTTGGTGCAGTATTTTTAGGGTCAAGGTAAATTTGATGTTATAAGAAAATATAAGAATAGCATCAGGATCAATTTACTAGAGAAATATTCAAGGAGATATAGGAAAGTTATTAGATGGGGCACCTATTTGGGAGAATAAGTTTGATGTTCCAGAATTGGATAAGAAATTCTTCTTTATTGATGATGATAATAATTTTGAACCTTCATTATGGCATCATGGAATGTATGCATTAATAAATAGAAAAGCAACTCAATTGAGAAGCCAAAGGTATTCTACAAACATGAGTGAATTTTAATAATTTAATGGATAAAATTTAAAATAAAATTAAATCTTTAAATAATTAATGGGACGTATGTAAGCAAAAGGAAAGGGAAAGGGTATCTCAGGATCAGCCCTTCCATACAAGAGAAAAGCTCCAAAATGGTTGACTCTTTCATCAAAGTCAATAGTTGATCAAATAGTGAATTTAGCAAAGAAAGGTACGAAAAAGATTATAAAAAATAAGGTTTGAATGGATCATAAATTGGTGTTTACTTGAGAGATTAATAAGGAATTCCATAAACAAGATTCTTAACAGGACAAAAAATCTTAAGAATTTTGAAAAAGAGAGGTATTGATAGGTCAAGAATAACTTAAAGGTTGTGCTCCAAAGATTCCAGAGGACTTATATGCTTTGATAAAGAAGGCAGTATAAATAAGAAAGCACTTGGAAAAGAATAGAGGTGACATAACAAGCAAATTCAGATTGATTTTGGTAGAGAGTAGAATTCATCGATTGAGTAGATATTATAGAAGAACATAAAAATTGCCATCAAATTGGAAATAGTAAGCAATATTAATAAAAGTTTAGTGTTTCAAAGACAGCTTCAGCATTAATAGGTCAATGAAGAATTTATTACATTAAGTACATTAATAATTATATAAATAATATTATGCATTGAAATGATTGAGAATGATAAAGAAAAAAGGATAAATAATGATGGACATAATGTTGAATATTTATGATAAAATCTCAGAATCTGCCACCAAGGTATTGGGATGTAGCAGTTAATTTTTCAGTTAAATGTTCTAAGATTCTCTCAACAATTTCTTATTATCTTTATCTTTCAGTTGTTTGAGTGTCGTAAGTGGTTTCTTGGAGAGCACACCATTCATGTTCAGCATCAAGAGTTTCTTGAGCTTATTCTAATTCTAACTATAAAAAAGATAGAAATATAAATTTTACTTAATGAACTTCAAAGAAATGAGTGGCAGTTTCAATATTGGTTCTGAAAGTTTGGATGGACTATTCCAATTGATTCTTTCTATCAACCAATCTATTGTGTTCATTGCTCAAATGTGTTGAGAATTCAGACCATCTTTGAGCTTATCTATTTTCAGTATCCTAGAGAATATTTAAATAGAATACTTACTTCTAAAACAGATCTTGCTTCAATCAATTGTTATCTGAGTTATGAGAGCAATTGAAGAATTCTTTAGATAGCCTTTTAATCAACTTTAGTGGCTAATTCAGTCAAAGCAGTGACAATAGGTTAAAAGAGAGCACCGTGACTTTCATTTTCAATCAATCTCTTTTAAACAGCTTCAAATTTTGGTTTAAGTTCAGCAAATGTAGCACCTAGAGAAAGATGTTAAACTAATTTAGTTGCTTCATCAACAGCAGCAATAGCATCATCATGTTCACCATTCTTTCTAACCCAAGTTTCATGAGCTTTGTTTCTGTTAGCTTCTTCTTATGCAAAAGTTCTTTCATTACTTTCTATATCCTAAACAACTATTTTTATTTGCATACTTAAATTGTTTATCTAACATCATTTTCAGCTTCTGCTAAAGCCTTTTCATTATCTTCTCTCATTTAAGCATTAGCAGCTACTTAAGCTGTATGATAAGCAATTGAATTTTCCAAATCTGTTACAATACGAGTACAAGCAGCTCTATCAACTCTGATAACATTATCATGTTTATTTTAATCATCAACCAAACCTGCTAATACTTAATTCAACAACACTAAAATTTCTTCTGCATTCCCTTTTGCTTGTAAATACATTTAAACTGTTGATAAAATTGTATTTCCAAAGTTGTCAGCATCTATCTCTGCCAACACTGTTTTAGTATCCTTCTATACACCTAATACACATGAAACAATCAAAGCTAAAGCAATCAATTTCTACATTATTAAAATATTAACGAAAACGGATCAATAAATTAATATATTAATCAAAGGTATCTATAACCATAACCTGCATTTGGACGATATCCACTAACTCTACTTGGACTATATCTATAATTTGAGTATGATGTAGGAGGAGGTGGTGCTAAATATTAAGATTGACTTCCATAACCAACTCTACTTTAAGGTCCTCTTACAACATGGCTATTCTAAACTGGTACATAATCGACATGTTCATCATATCTATCAACTGGAATATATTCCACTCTCTTCTCCAGTCTAGGGACTGGTACATAATCTGTCTCATGTTTAACTAAATTTATATTTTTCTCTCAAACCTTCTACATAATCTGTGTATGATTTCTCCACTGGTCGATATTCAATCTTTGTCTCTGGTACATAATCAGTGTATCTCTGCTCTACAGGGATATACTCAGACCATTATTCCCCTCTCATTGGTGCTCTTGATTAATAAGAGTATGGACGATCATAAGGGCCATAGTATGCTGGACCATATTAACTTGATGAGTATACTGGTACTGTGCGGTCGTAGGCACTTTAGTGAAAAGGCTTGTAGTAGGACATTTAAAAAACTTAAAATTATTTATTTTATTTCTTCTAACAGAACTTTATTTTAATGTTAAAATTTATTTGTTTTGTTGAATATACTTTCCATCCTCTTATGTATTTAATATCAATAATATATTGTCATTCTAGTTAGACTTTAATTTCAAAGGTTCTTTTCCTCTCATTTCCTTCTTTCCATTTCTCTTTTTAGAAAATTACATTTAAAACCTTATTATAAATCATATTTATTCTAATTCCTAACTTTTACTTTTGCCGTAAAAAAACAAGGATTCTTTCATTACTTTTATGTTTCTTTTGAATATCAACTCAAAACTTTAAATGTTATATCGATTTTCAAATTTTAATCTTAAATCTTAAATTTCTTATTTAAACTTAACAATTCTCCTATTTACTCAAAAATACTTTTGATTAATTTTTAATTAGCATTTTGAACATTTAGTATGACATTTTATAAATCTATTATTGATATA